TATATATATATATATATATATACAAAATATATTTCCCCGAAGACACAACTCCCCTGAAATCGCTGAAACATATTATAACACTGAAACCTCATCCCATCCACTGCTTCCGGCCTCGGCAAAAGGAAGGCCGCAGCTGGCGGGCACCGACCATGAATTACGAATTATTGGGAGCTCAGGCTTCTGTCATATATATATGGCTATGCATGCAGTCTACGTCGTCTGTATGCACACGTGTTTGTTTGATACGGGCCTCGGTGCAGTCTGGAGTGCGAGACATCTGGGGAATTCTGGCCAGTTCCTAATTTGAAAAACATATTCCTTGAATAATCGTGACTGCACTATATATATCTAGGATCATGGTCTTCCTAATTGTACATGTATGCCTGCATGCTCCTGGGCGGCGAAGCGGCGGGTGGTTGGAGACTTCCAAGCCTGTGCATTAATGCAAGGATTCGATATATATATATATATATATCTATATATCTCTAAAAATCGGTATCTATTTATACATATATATATAATATGTATATATGTATATATATGTAGAATGATACATATGTATATATATATATAAAGTAAATATAAAAATATATATTTATATATATGTATACATATTTGTTTTCGTTGTTGATGCTGCTTGGTGGCTTCTGTGTCGGACAAATCCCTATATATATACATATATATACATATATATATATATATATATATACATTATATACATATCTGATACACATAGCAAAACCCGTGCAAGAATCTATAAATCAATGTTTTCTCAATTCAACCAACGTGTCGGAATTTAATATTTTTTTCAAAAAATCAATGAAGTCAAGCAAGCTCGCTATAAATGGCATCTTACCATGCATGTGTAATTAGAGGAAAGCATGCCATAGGCTAAAGTATATGAAACCCTAGGACTTTCATACATCACACACATGCTCCGTCCGGAACCACAAAAAACAAGGCCTTGCGTTGTTGTGCTTACCAAACCAGCACTTTGGTCATATTTGAGGTCTTCGGATGCTTAGGGTAATGTGGTTTAAGGTATACTCCTTACTTAAGGGACATTGGGGTCTCCGGGTAACCTCTACAGACTGCTCAGAAGTTGAAGTTACCCGCACAAGGGACCCTAAGACACCCTAGGCACTAGAAAACCAGTCAGAGGGACGCAACCAACACGATCAGAGACACTATGACACCAACAGTTTTGAGCAAGGGCGGTATACGTCCCACAACCCCAATCCCTAAAAGCCTAAAACAACACAAAAAGCACCGCAACCTTATTCAACAGACCTGATCCCAGAGGGTCCATGTATACTTCCATGATGGATTTGGGTCACAGAATATCCTTGTTACGGTTTTGGGGACCCAACTCAATAATAGTGGTATATATTGGACCCTCTGGGGAACGTATACTTAACCCTAAAGCCGTGATGAAATACTCACGAAGCCCAACAAACCGGAATAGTGCCTTCGGCTGGATCGGCGGAGAATGGGATCGAGCGGAACCTCGGCGATGCAGTTACTGTGGCTTCCCCTGTGAGGGCTTAGGGTTTGGGGTTTAGGGTTCAGGGTTTATGGAGTACTGTGGCTTCCCCTGTGAGGGCTTAGGGTTTGGGGTTTAGGGTTCAGGGTTTATGGAGGCCGGTTCCCTTTCAAGCAACCCCGCAACGGACGGACCCCCTTACGAAGTGCCCTCTAAAGGAACCCTTAGAGTGAGCTTCCGGCTTGGGGCCGAGGGTTTTGGGTTTATGGGTGGGGTTATGTACCAGCTTGATAGGAGTACAGTACCAATAAACACTTGATCTGCATAATAGGTTCCTAGCCTCTGGCGGGTTGATGCACCAACAAACCGGTATCATCCACGGCTTTTGGGCTTCAGGACTTGCGGCATAAGGATGTTTAAGGTTTAAGGCGTACCGGCTTCCCGGCGTAAAATGCTGTGGGGGGGGCATTAGTTAAGGTTCGGGGTTGCTAAGTCCCCCTTATAAGGGTTATAATTAGAGTTACCCTACTTATAACCGTACTTATGATTACCGTATTGTCAGAGTTTATCGGTCGTGTTTGGGCTTCATAGGGCTGTTCCAGGGCTTTTCCTAGGCTAAGTGGCTTTTGGTGGCTGAGGGTTTGGAGGCACTATCCAGCGTGAGGAAACCTGTGACGTGATTGCCATGGCTTGGGGTACATACTGCAGGGGTCCCGTCCATGATCAAGGCGGCCTTAAAACTACTTGTAAGCTCATACCCTACCCCTTCTTTAGGTTATCTACTTGTCTATACAACCGATCCTAACCATAAAAACTAGGTATCCTAAAAAAAGGTAGAGTATGAGCCTCCAGGTCGATTCAGGCTTTAGAACTATGGGGTCAGCTCACGGGACCATGTACCAAGGTTTGTGGAAGGTCCTACAAAGTGCGGCATCTTGCTTGAGGTTGAATCCAGGGGTTGTAGTCCAAGAAAGGTGGAGTAGCATTCTACGAATCTGGCGCCAAATGTTCAAAGCCTCGTCTGGATGTTTCCATTGCTTCTACTGGCACCAGAAAGCAGACGAGTGTTTTTTGCGGAGGCAATTTGTTGTCTGTGATGCTGCTGTGCTGGATGGGACTCGATGCGACGAATCGCTCGTACACATGCAAACCTTGCGCGTAAACTGCATGACAAACCTGGAACTTCGCGGCAAGCAATAGGCATTTCTCTTCTCCTGCAATGCATTACATTGCGATGCTAGGAAACCAGAAGCATCAAAATGAAAGATCGGCAGAAGCATAATTACTGAAGAATGGTGTTCACAGTAGCCATAACAGCTGCAGTAGACTTAGTCGCAGTCGTCGTCGTCTTACCCTTCGTCGTTGTCGTCTGCAGCATGTGGTATGCCGTAGGTCGCATGTCGCAGGTCATAACTAATTTGATTAGTCGTGGCGTGTAGTAGCACCAGCAGAAGATGCAGTGGTTGTGGTACATAGTTGGAGTGGTAGTGGCAGAGCAGTAGCAGCAAAAAATGACAAAAACCCAACAAGCCTACTCAGTGTAGCATCTGCGTGAACATGCAGGGCAAGACAGTCCACAGGCTTAACGACACGCAGTCGCCAGGACATTTCAATGATATCCCTATGCCGTATATGCCCTACCTGTGATCCAAAAGACCTGCCTTTTTAAGGAACTATATATAGAGACCATAATAAGGAATCCTAAATTAAAAAGGTAGGTCTGTTCGGCTACAGGTACACCTTTACATTGGGTCCAGCAGCGGTTGAATTGCGCGGGGGCGGGGACCGGGTGCATCTGATGAGCGGCATCCTGGCCAACAGCATACCGTTTCGTCGGGAATGCCGGCTTTCAACTGGTTGGTATGAGAAACCCTCACACTCCAGATGGCCCTGTGGAACCTGCCGAAAACTTCAACGGCGCTAGGGGCTGCGGCGCGCAGTGGAAGCTACTACGACTGCAGTTGCTTGGGCACAGCGACACTGCAACATTCGCATGCTTCCAGCCAGACGGTGAAATCTGCAACCAGCTCAACATGCCAATTCTGTCTAAAGCCAAAAAACCGAAGTCCCAGCAAACTCTGGAGCAGGACACATGTTCCGGGCTTCAAGTTTATGGAGGCTAAAGATTCAGGGTTCTTCCTTGTTTAGATGTCGAGCTTTGGCTTAGGGTATAGGATGGGCTCAGGCCCTACAGCACTCCTAACGGTCTTGGGTTTGGAGCTTGCCTGCATTCTGTGCGCCCGCTCTCGCATCTCCACATTCCTGAGATCTTGCATGATCTTGCTGCAGTTGCAACACACACACACACATCCACATCCATGACAGATCAAAGGTTAAGATTTGTACAGTGAGAAAACGCCAATCTAACTCCTGCAGCCTCACTCTAACTACACGTAGAGTGTCATTCAGAACAAGTCTTCAAGGGGCCGTACAGCGAATCAGGGATATCTTCGTGCAGTACGGGACCCACGCTCAGGAAACCAATGAGAGGCTTGCAAGTTCAATGAAGCCTGAAAACGTGGGGTTTTAGGGTTTTTGGCTTGTAGTAGCATTTGGTGAGTTTAGGATTGACAAATTCCGGGTTTGGGGTCTTGCCACACCAAGAAGTCAGTTCTGTACAACTTATCCTTGTGCGATGGTCCTGGATCCAGTCTTGTCGCAAGAATGGGGTTGGGCTTATAACAACCACTAAAGCCATTGAGTCCCAATGCGACAAAGGAAAACAAAGCCCTGCAAAACCCACCTAACATCACGCAAAGGCTTGTGAAGCTACGAGACTGCACAAGCCCTTCAACAGCCTGGACTCAAACCCTAAACCCAAGAATCCAGAACCCCAAAGCCCCTACACCCCTACTTGGAGGGTCGGGGGACTTAGTAAGTAGGTAGTAAGTAGACTTAAAGTACCCTAAAAGGGACCCTAATTGGGGTTATGGTACTTATAAGTCCCTAAAATAACCAGTTACTACGTCCCCAAAAAACCCTCCAAGTAATTCACCCAAACCCTAAACCCTAAACCCGAATTAAACCCATAAGTGCCCGGAGCCCCTAAGCATCCTAAACCTAGTGCCCCAACAAAGCACATAAGCGAAAAAACATGGATATAGGGATATCCCACATAACCCCCCCCCCTTTTCATGAAGCCCAAGAAGGTAGGGATATCCCCATCAAATGCTGATGCTTATGTGCTTTTTTGGGTCCCCCCAAACCCCTAATCCTGAAACCCTAAACCCTAAACCCCTAAGCCCAGGAACCCTGGAGTCGCTGCAAGCCGGGCGGCTCTTCCCGGAGCCGGACCTGGGCTTCCTTCAGGAGCAGATTCTCTTGCAGCAGCGCTTCCTCGGCTTCTTCAGGGGTTTAGGGTTTTGGCTTTTAGGGGCATTTTGCGGTTTATAGGGTTCTTCTTCAGGGGTTTAGGGTTTAGGATTTTGAGGGCATTTTAAGGCTTAGGGCTGAGGGTTTATAGGGTTTAGGGGTTCTCTTGGAGCCACATGCCGTAGAAACCATCAGTCTTGGGCTCTTAGACCACCTTTCGCATCTCCGAGATGTCCGGGGCCTTGTAGGCACGTATTAAGAGTCAAGAAGGGTTCCATGATTGCGCGGTCGGGGAGCAGAACGTCTGCTTGAAGGTCCGTCACAGAGCTCTACGTGGTCTACATGAGGTCACTGAAACTAGAGCTAAATACGTAAATGACTGAGCATCTGCGGGTCTGATAAGCACTCGTTTCCTGTAACCCCACCCAATCAGAGTAGCGAAAACTAGCAAGCCAAGAACCCTACAGTGGCCCTTCATCGTAAACCCTACTACTAAACATACTCTAAACTCTAAACGGTTAAACACCCATTTAAATCTAACCGGTTAAACACCCATTTAAATCTAGCCACAGAAACAAACCTCTTTGATTCAAACTCTTTGATCACACCAACAAAATCGCCACCATGCTTGGTCAGCTGAAGGGCGATCTGCTGGCTTTCTTCCAGTCGGCTGGCGCTGGACTGGCGTTGAACCTGAAGGATGTGGCCGGTTTATGGGACTTACGAGGTTAAGATCCGTTAGGGCCCGCGTTCCATGTGATTGCTTTTTGGCGCATTGCTAGTTAAAACAGGTTTGTTTCGGTCATTATAGCATCCCAGTCCAGGTATGTTCTTAATACGTAACTGTTTCCAACCCCTCCGACCTCTGGAATAGGGGACTGAAGTTGAGTGTGCATGTGGGCCTGAGGATCTAAGCCATGGGGGTCTGTTTAAGTATGAGAGTGCCACATCGTCTGGGGGAAATCGGGGACAAGTTCGCCACACATCCGCATTACAGGGTTTTGCGTCAGAGGCCGGGGCTAACCAAAGGCCCCAAAGTAGTTCCTGTTTGGGGCTCATATATAGAATCATCCCAACATGGAACATTATGGGGCCTCTGGGTAACCTCATTCACCAAAGCTGTGTACCTGGGAAGGATACCCAGCAGCTCCTTCATGATGGCCTGGTTGTTCTGGTTGTTCTACTATCCCGTGTTCGTATGATAAGGAAGGCGAACATCGGGACCACGGACCACCACGGTGGTTAGCCGTGCTCGGGGGCATTTGGATGTCGGGCTGCTTGAATATAGGATTTGAGGGCATGTGGTGTACAGGGAGTACCATCTATCCATGGCTGTATAACGACAGTATGGGGGATATGGAGGAACCCTTACTAAGATGCATTTTAGTGCTTCCTAAAACGCAATTTTAACTATGAGCGCCCTTTTTGACCTTAAAACCCCTTTAGCCGAGAAGGCGGCGCCTGCGGTGCAACGACCTTGGACTTGGGATCACATCGGCTCGGCGCCTGGCATCGTAGCGAGAGCCGTTGAAGACATGAATACCAGCGGCTCCGGAAACCCTCAGCCCGGAGCCGATTTGATGGGGTAGAAAATCAATAGCTTATGACAATAGCGCCGCTTCCAGTCAGGCGATTTCGGGCTGGTATTTGCATTGAACCCAGCACCCCAAACAAGAACTGCTTACTGCAGGCCTTGATGCGAGAAAAGAGTGGCTTGGCACATGGACGCTTCTAAACGCTCGGGGCGGCCTGTTTAAGGGTCCTCACAATACAGGATCCTGTTGAAGCCAGGAGTACCACTACAAACATCTACTTCTGCAAAAGAGACCCGGAGTAAGGACGTTGATGAAACCAGCATTCATGCCAGCACAGCCTGAGAACGAGAGCGAAGCAAATACAAACATACCCACGTACTTACGTACGTACATATGTACACACATATATATATATATATATATGTATGTATATATATATATATATATATATATATGTGAATAGAGAGTGATATAGGCTTTATTACATTTATGTACTTATTTTGCATATATATATATATATATATATATGAATAGAGAGAGATATAGACTTTATTACATTTATGTACTTATTTTGCATATATATATATATATAGATAGATATATCGGACATGTACATGTACATGTATATGAGCATGTTTCTGTATGCCTATAGCCATGAATATGTGATATATGGACACACACACACAGACACGCACACACCTTTTGTATTCACATATATACATACATGCACGTACATAATAAAATAGATATACTCGTAAAGAAACACATGAGACATACATGCACAAGAAAACGGGAATCTCAAAACGAATGGCAGGAACATGGAGAGCAGGAGACGAAGGAAGAGAGAGAGAGAGAGAGAGAGAGAGAGAGAGAGATATATATATATATATATAGTGTGTGTGTGGTTGTGTGTTTGTGCATGTGTGTATGTGTGTCTCGACCACGAACCTGTGGCGACCGCGCACTTTGCGAATCGCTGTTTCCCGAGCTGTTGGAGTGGTTGCACCAACCTCAAGGCAAGTTCACACAGGGCAGTATCTGGGATGTAGGACAGTGGAGGATAACACGGCTTTGCGGATGTTTGTGATTGCACGGCTCTGCGTGACCATAGCGGCAGACATTAATTACTAAATAAAACAATGAGACCGGATACCAGTTCGGCCGAAACGAAACCGAGTCCGTCCTAGATACGAGTTCTAGCAGAATTTCACAAGTCCGGGTCAGCCATGTTGCACGCCATCAGTTTCAGAATCAAGCTGCGGCTGGAGTGTGCATCGAGCCCAATAAAAAGCCACATCAATCATACGAACTGTCCGTCGAGTTACGTATACGCCCCTTTACCATATTGGTAGACACAATGCAAACGACAGCAACCAACAGAAGACTGCACTGAGATGTTGTCATCAGCCCCAGCATTGAATCAATCTGTTGAGCGAGAAACACTCTTCAACAACAGCCACTGACACCTGAAGTGCGTACTGCATCGAGAGTGAAAACCTAACAAGCAAGATTCGTGTACCGAAAAAGACACACTTCCCGACTTGTCCAGCTAACAAAACAAAGACAAACCTGATCCGGACCGCCGGGCCCTCTATTCAAAGGGACCCTAAAGTGATTACCGTGCTCTGAACTATAAGTCGCAACCTCGCTTGTTGCTTTCTTCGGGGAGCCCAGGAACCCGCTTCTTGAAGCGTCCATGCAACTTCCCAAGAATGAAGGATCGTAGATGATAGAAGCCCTAAACCCTAAACCCCCTAAACCCCCTAAACCTTAAACCCTAAACCCCCTAAGCCCTAAACCCCCTAAACCTTAAACCCCCTAAGCCCTAAACCCTAAAGCCTGTTGCATCCAAGCATCTTGAATCTTGCGTTCGGTCCACGCTGAGCACCTTCGGCTTGTTGCCGAGCGCCGAGCCTGCGAGCCAGGTGTAACTCGTGCACACAGCAACCGGTAAGGGTTCAGGGTTTAGGGATCTCCATGCTGCAACCAAAATCCAAGGGTAAAAGGAGGGATCCTTAATAAGGACCCCTAGGTATATACCCGTAATATAGCTCTTATATACCCATTATTATATAGCCCATTATAGGGTAGGGGTCCCCATTAAGGGTCCCTCCTTTTCCCCTTTGACAAACACCTCAAGCCCGAAACTTTGTGTCTTCTAGAAACGCAAGTGCCAGCAGAGCCGCCGAGCTCGGACAGGAACGGAGCGAAGCCCTCCAAGCACTTGCTGTCCTCGGGCGTAGCCATCCGATGGTTTAGGGTTTAGGGTTGACATGTCATTTGTTCATGGGACCTCAATAATTCGGAGTCGCTTTTGGGATATGTTCGGGTCGAATTTAGATAAGGACTATATAACAGGGCAATAGCAAGATATACCCAGGCATCCATTTCTAGCACCCGAACAGCCCCAAGACACATGAATCCACAAGGCCCTCAGCCCCGAAGCCAAAGTCAAGAAAGGCCAGGCGAGGCAATAGACCCCCTTACACCCTAAGGCCGAAGGCTCAAGGAGTTCAGGGCTTTAGAGTAGCACGGATCTTGTCCTAAGGAGAGCCCCAACAAAGCCCGACCTAACCCTCCTCCAAACAGTCATGGAATGCGAGCATGAGCCCCTTTACCTTTAGTCAGCTAACGCCTATCTCCACCCGCAACCCCCTAACAACACGAGAGTTTCATGGAGCTTCAAAGGCACCGCCCGATATAAAGAGCATCAAGGCATAAGGATCCGCATCGCAGGATCATGACGTAACCGATCGCTTGATTCTGGGAGACTTCTTATTTTGACTGGGGTTTTGAGTAGTGTATACCAGAAACAAGCAGATCCTCTTACTGTTTTTTGCTAACCCTGTTCTAATCCGCATAAAAGGCTCCGAAGCAGCGACTTCTGCGAGACTCAATGTGGGAGTTTCCGACAACAGGGGACCCAAATATGGTACCTTACATCAAAGGATCCTAACTGTAAGGAGCCCAAATAAGGTATCCTTGATTTTCGGAAACTCTGAACCCTAAACCCTCAACCCTTTATAGACCCTTATAAATCCCTTTAAGGAACCCTTACCTAATTTCGAAACTCCTATGTAGCCCAAGGTGCGACTTTGTTGATGAGAGCTTGCAGCTTCGTGCGCAGGGACCTCAGGGGCTTACTCGGGTTGCTGTAAAGGGGTCTGTAAGGGTCATAGGGATCCTTAGCGGTGTAGGGGGGAGGGGTGTAGGGGACTATATTTCCTCAAATAGGCCTTATTAGTCCTTATTATGGGCCTTAAGGCCCCCTACCCCCCCTCCCCCTACACCCCTAAGGATCCCTATGAAAGGGTTACAATAAGGGATCTATAAGTCCACTATAATATGGGGACCTACATAATTACCCAAACATTTTTGGGGGGTGGGTTCCCTTAAAGGTTCCTTAAAGGGGTCTATAAGGGATCTATAGTAGGGTGCTATGGTATGGGGCCCTATATAGTTACCTATACCACATGTTTTAGGGGGTTCCTTATTATAAGTATACATTGTACAAGGGGCCACAAAACCCCATTCTAATACTTAAGGCCCCTATACTAGGGTCTGGGAGGTTTGCGTACGGGCCAACGGGGTTGCAGCGCAAGCCGTGTCTGAGGATGGATTGAGACTCCGTGAAGGTATGTCTGAAGACATCCGTCCTTATCCAGTTGTACCCTCAAATAGGGGTATATGGTCCCAAATAAGGGGGATTTAGGGTCTAATAAAGGGCAGATGGAGGGTCTAGGATAGTGAAGTCTGTTTACGAAAGCGTGTCTGGAGTGTTTCACATCCCCAAATGAAGCCCAAAAATGTAAACTCACCAACATTCCTATGACATGCACGACTCAGCCCCATTCAAAAAGCACCCTACGGCGCATGCCATCCACCAAACCTGTTCGCTGCTAAGGTGTGGGCTCCTCCCATAGCTGCACCTTGTTCTGCAATAGCTCCAACGCCTCAGCCTGGCGTCTTGCACCAGATACATATACATCTAAATACATCATACATGTATACATACATACATACATGCATAATTCTATACATATATATATATATATATATACACACATAATAATTATGTTTGTGCGCGCAGACCTTCGTTTTGGAAAAGGAAACTCACCTCGTGCCAACATTTGGAAGCAAAGTGCATACACAAAGCGCTTTCGAACAAAAACATGCTTTGCAAGCGAGGCCCGGCTCCCTCTTGGACGAGCAGTTGTCGGGATTGGGGTGTCGTCGATCGGCACAAACCCAAACTCCCCAACCTCAAACTCAAAACCCCAATGAGCGTTTGGAATCTCCGCGAATGCGGAAAACACGCCCTATCTTGACCATCCTTATAAAAGTCCTTAAAAAGGTAGCTTATTCAGGGTTAGGGTAAGCCATAAACCTTCCAAACACCGAACCCTAAAACCTGCCAAAAGCCTAGCCTAAACCCTAAACCTTAATCCCTAATCCCTCAACCCCTAAACCCTAGACGCTAATCCCTAAACCCCTAAACTCTAATCCCAGAACCCCTAGCACTAATCCCTGAACCCTTAATGTCTAATCCCTAAACCCTAAACTCTAATGTCCAAACTCTGAACCCCTAAACCCTACACCCCTAAATCCTGAACCCCTAATCCTAAACCCTAAACCCAAACCCCTGACCCTAAACCCGAATCCCTAAACCCCTGACCCTAAACCCTAAACTCTACTAAACCCCTAAACCCTAAACCCTTAATCCCTAATCCCTAAACCCTAAACTCTCATCCCTAAACTCTAAGCCCCTAAACCCTAAACCATGAACCCCTAAACTCTAATCAAAAAACCCCATAATCCCTAACCCCTAAACCCTAATCCCTCTAATCCCTACACCGGTACCGGCCTGGGTCTTCATGGTGTGCTCCGAAATCGCCAGCTTTTCGATCTTCTCCTGGCATCGCTCTCGGGCTTTCGGGGTCGACTTTAGGGGGGGGGGCTTAAAAACCTAAGGGACTTCCTAGGGTTCCTTTAAAGGGGTCTATAAGGGGTTGCTATAAGGGATCTATCAGGGTACTAGATAATATAGGGGCCTAAATAATTACCTATACTATGTTTTTGGTAAGGGATCTATAGTAGGGTTCTGTGGTATACTGGCCTAGATAATACCCTATACTATTTTTTTGAGGGGGCCCTTATTATACTTGTAGTATATAGCGGGCCCCCAAAAATCCAGTTCTAATTATTAAGGCCCCTATAGTAGTTCTGTTTTGAGGACAGCTGTTCTCACTGTTGCTTGAGACGTGGAGGGTTTGAGGTTCTAGGGTTCTACAAGGTCTTGTTGCGGATAAGGATCTTGTGAAGATTCTATGCGGATTCTACAGGTCTTGATTTTATGAATCTTGTAAGGAATATTATACCGCCCTTCCCTTGACGCTGGTTTAGAGGGGTCGGGTCTGGTGCCTGTGCGGTTTTCGTGCCTCTCTTGGGCCAGGGATGTTCTTGCTTCGCCGATGGAAGCGGGTAAGCTGCAACCCAAAACCCCTAAACCCAAAACTGGCTGGCCGTGCTTACAGCGAAGACTTCCTCCTACACTCTCCACTCCGGTGCCCTCTTGGTGGTGCAGCAAGCCACCCATCGGGCTATAAGCCACTGCACACTCGGACCCTCAAGCCTAAACCCTAAACCTAAAACCCTACATCCTAAAACCCTAAATCCTACAAACCTAACTCCTAAAAACCCTAAACCCTCAAACCCAATATCCTAAAACCCTAAACCCTCAAACCCTAAATCCCGAAGCCCTCGGCCCTAAACCCCTATAGATCCCTTAAAGGAACCCTGTAAAGGACCCCTAGAGACCTAAATCCTAAAACCCTAAGCCATGATCTTCAGCGCCAATATGGGAATTCCCGAAAACTAGGGGTACCCTAGATTGGTGTCCTTATAGAAAGGATCCTACTATTTAGGTTACCATATTAGGGTCCCCTATGCATTTCGGAAACGCCCAAATCCCTCCCAGCCTCACAGATCTTCTCCGCGAGCTTCGCAACATCGACACCCGAAGGCCCCTGCTTGGGGTTTAGAGCTTCAGGGGTTTAGAGTCTGAAGTTTAAGGTTCAGGGTTTAGGGCTTTTAGGGTTCAGGCAGGCTTTAGAGCTTTAGGGGTTTAGGGTTTAGGGTTCAGGGTTTTCCTAGGGCTTAGGGTTTAAAGCTTTAGGGGTTTAGAACTTTACAATAGAAGCCAGAAAGTTGGAACATCATTGTCCTCATGCTCCTAAGGTAAAGTATAGGGAATCCCAGCACTTATCATCCTAGATCCATGCTCCAAATTTCTGGAGTTCACTGCGGGGGTTTAGAGTTTAGGGTTTGGGGGGTGTTTCGGGTTAAGAAGTCTTGTTCGGTTTCCCACTCCTAAGTTGGAAGAACCTACACCACCCAAGCACCCATTCATGATGGCGATAAGTCCCCTAAGGCCTACGCCAGGTTTGAGCTTTATGCTACAGGAGCCTTAACCGCACTTCTCATCCACGAATCCCCGGTTTAGCGGTTTAGGGTTCATGGTTTCGGGCACAAAATCACTTAAACCCACCCGGACCCTCCTTGAAATAGGGGTATATGGTCCCAACTAAGGAGCATTTAGGGTCTAATAGAGGGTAGATGGAGGGTCTGGGAAGACTAGAACTCAAAATCCGAAACCCCCAAAACTCCAAAGTCTCCCCCAAGAAAGACGGAGGGTCTAGGCAGGGAGTTTCCGAAACTTAGGGGTACCATGTTTGGGGGGTCCTTATAATGGAGCTCCTACTTCTTAGAGCACTATATTCGTGCCCCTCTATTTTCGGAATCTCCCATTTGTATTTATTCTGAAGCTTTCGCGTCTCATGGCCTAGAGTTTGGGGGGGTCTTCTGTCTGGTGCTTAGTGAGGAATGGAGTTTGGAGACTACTATTGGCGATTATTATAGGGACTACTCCAACCCCTTAAACCGTAAACCCTAAACCGTAAACCCTATAAACCCTAAACGTCCTGCTGTCTCTCCATCTACCTACCTACCTACCTACCTGCGAATCTGTCTGTGTATCTAGCAACCTATGGCCTCTCACCCTGTAGCCAAGTTGATACATGCTCAAAACTCAGAACTGTACCCTAAACCCTAAACCCAAAGATACATGCTCAAAACGCCCGGAGACCTCTGGGTTCGGGCCAACAAGCAACTTTTTGTGCTCTCTGCCAAAGAAGAAGATCTAAGCAGGTGAAGACCATGACCAAAGGCTGGTCCAGCTCTGCGCAGAGATGATCTGCTGCCTCCTCTGTCACCTGCTTCCTGTAGACATGGCCCTGGTGCAGTATTCCACGGCCAGATGCTCGTCTCACGGCACTTTCACTTTGAAGCCAAACTAGATGGGCGGGCATTGTTCAGCGAAGCTGACTGCACAGTGCCGTTTTTGGACCTGGGCCGTTGCCCTTGCCGTTGTCTGGACCCGAGGCTCTGGTAGTTCAGACTCAGAGCCCACAGGCATCGCTACCTCCTCCAGGTCCAGCTCTGCCTTCTTCACGGAGTGGACACATCAACATAGACCCACATAAAGCCATAAAGAGAACCTTCAAAAGCCTTGAATGAACCTTTCAATCAACTCTTTTTCCAAAGACCGTTAAACGATAGCATCCTAAACCACCCCCAAAATCCTGATAGAGCCCTTAACGGAGCCCTTGACGCCACCCCTATAGCAACCCTTGCAGGAGCCCTCATTTTCGGATCCCTTTGCGGAACCCGGGCTCCGAGAACCGCCTCCGGGCCACGCTGCGCAAGGCCCTTCCGGAGGGCCTCGAGGTCCTCTTTTCGAGCTTCCAAGGTTTAGGGTTTGGGGTTTTAGAAGGGGAAGCCCCATAGCTCAACTTAAAGGATCATGGGACTTAGTCACTAGGGTTATAATTAAGGTAACTATACTTATAATTACTTATAACCCCATTTAAGGTACTTAGGGTTTAAGGGTTCAGGGTTTGGGGTTGTAGGGTTTCAGGCTTGGGGATCCCTTTCGGGCTCCTTTAAGACTTCTACAAGGGGTCCTTTTGGGCCGGATGCCACAGCTCGCAACCCTGAACAAGACTGTCTGGTTCTCAGTGGGGAATGGGGTTCCTTTAAGGGTTCCTTTAAGGGTCACTGTATGTAAGGGTTACTATAAGGGTTATACTATAGGGGTTCAGGGCTCTTAGTAGGCTGCCTGGTTCTTAGTCGGGAGTGGGGGAATGGATGTTTCAGACTATTATTGAGATTTTACAGGGGCTCCTGTAGGGATCCATTCCCCCATTCCCTACTAAGCACCAGACAGCTGAACGAGATGGGTTTACGGTCTTAAGGGATCTCTAAAGGTTAATTTAATGGACAGCCTTAACGGGATCTATGGCAATCTATGGGGCTCCATTAAGGGATCTCTAGGAACCCCATAAAAGCACGTCAGAAGCTCAGATGTAAAGTCCGAAAGACCAGCTCCGACAAGAATCACCTGGATCCTAGAAATATGGGAGTTCCGAAGATTACGCGCACCTTGTTTGGGGTCCTTATTATTTAGGGAACTACATTAAGGTCCACTATTTTCGGAAACTCCCATATCCAGAAATGGCACCTCCAACCTTCTGATTGCAGTGATATAGGGGCCTTAATAATAAGAAGAAGGTTTGGAGCCCCTGTATAGTATGCTTATTATAAGGAACCCTAAGGAATAATATGAATTATTTAGGCTTCTATAGTACAAGTAATCCCGAATCCTAAAGCCCAATAAGAGAGTATGCTGTTCCGTAAAGCCAGAACCTTCAACTCCAAGAACCACGAAGCCCACCTGGCTCAGCTGCCGCACGGCCTGGCTACATCAAGTACTGGTTTTGACGAGTCTTCGAAAGACCAACCAGTCAGACAGTTGCTATTGTAGGGACCTTAATACTTAGAATAGTGTTTTTAGGGTTCCTCATTATAGTTATGGTAGAATATCTCCCCAAACCCTACTCTAGGCAATTATTCATTTCAGCCCATATAATAAATACACATTATCGGTTGCAGGTCTCTGCAGGAGGAAGGGATTCTCAAGCCGCAAACTCCCAGACTTTAACCCAGCTAATCCCCCTCTACCGCGTGCAAGGCCTGGACCTCAAAATCCTAAAACCTGTCCAACAGTGTAGAACCAAACCCTAAAATCCCCAAACCCTGTAGTACAGACGGTTAGAAGCCCAAAATGGCCCAAAAGCCTACTGACAAGCGCGGCCGATTGGATTTGCGGTTCACGTCTCGGGTATATAGTCTAGGGTTTAAGTTCCAGGGTTTTCGGGGCTTAGGGGTTCAGCGGTTTTGGGATCTCTTGTATCTACTGCCAGTTCTTTACCTCCGTGTACGGGTTACAGTTTCCATCAAGTTACACCTACAAAGATTTTACATAATGTATTGTAACCTTAGCTTCAAGTTCGGTGCACTTTCCGAGCGCGCTGCTCATAGGAGGGAAGGCGCCAGAGCGGCAGAAGGAGCAAGGAGATCAGGGCGGAGCCGAAGACCAAGAAGAGGCGCCAGGCCTTCCAGCCCAAGGGTCCCTGGATGAGGGAGCCCAGAGGGAGCCCGGCAGCCGCCGCGCCCGTGTAAGCCGCCCAGCCCAGGAGCCCCTGCGAGACGCCGGCGGCGCGGGCGGAGACGGACTCCAAGCCACAAAGCGCCGAGAGCGCCTGTGCCACGTAGAGCCCCAAGCCGCCTCCGAACATGGCGGCAAAGTGAAGTTTGGGAGCACGATCCAGGCAGGCAAGAAGAAGTGCCGAAGGAAGAAGGATGAAGGTGACAGCAGCCACCGCCACCTGAATGCGGCTGCCGGTCAGAGGTGCTTCATCGCCACGGGCCTGCCACCACCTGTGAGCTTTGGGAAATCAACCGCAAACCCATATCAGTCTTGACTCTGGGCCTGCAATCCGTATGCGTATAATAGTGTAAAGAAAAAAACACCAAAATCGGGTCCCTTTTCGAGACACTTCCCACCTGTCGCTTAAAGAGCCGGAAAAGACGCTGCCTAGCAGCCCTCCGAACTCAAAGGCGCTCAAGTAAGGCGCGGCAGCTTTCGTCGAGCCATCAAAGAGGTGGAAAGCCAGCCAATTCCTTGCACTTTGTGCCCTAATTCCTAAACTCTAGACCATGTACCGGGCTAAGTCGGCTTGGGTCCAAAATGTTTGCAATGTCTCTCTGCTCCCATTGTTGAAGCCAGCCATGTAGGTATCAACATAAATAACTGAAAAAGTGTGTGTACACACATATATATATATATATGTACATATGTGTGCATATGCATATATCGATACATACCTACATGCACATATGCACACATGCAAACATCCATCCATCCATCCATCCATCCATCCGATCCACCCATCCGTGCGTGTGGGCGTGCATGCATGCACACAAGCATGCATACATACTTCGCACAGACACCTCCATCCATCCAGCCATCTATGCATGCATGCATGCATACGCGCATGCGTGCATTGCATTGCATTGCATTACATTGCATCAAATTGCATTACATTGCGTTATGTTGCATTACGTTGCCTTACATTACATTACATTGCATACATATGTCTCTGTGTGCGTCGTCATGTCCTAGCTAACTAGCTAGCTCGATCGTTAGATAGATAGGTAGGTAGACAAACAACAACAAAGTTAGTAAATATGATTAGACAATTAGATAGTAGATGCATGAATAGATGGATGGATAGATACGTGTAGGTCTCAGACTCAAAAAAATCCGAACAAGGCTATTCCAAGCCAGCAACTCAAAAACCTTAAACCCCACGCCCGCCACCCCCATCTCTCAGTCGGTTGGATCAAGAACTGCTGAATGTTTGTTGAGGGCTCGAGGTTTAGGGTTTCGGGGTTCAGGGTTTGAGGTTTGGGGTCCAGTCTGATCACAGAAGCTCCAAAAGAACGGATTAGCTTTGCGTTGCAACTCATTTAGGGAAGACTGCTCTCTTCGATCATCTCTTGAATCCAACAACTCCTTAAACCCTCAAATGTGCTGCAACGGTGCATAAGGGCCGCCCTCACGCCGAAGATGAAGAAGTTCGCCAGGGCCAGTTGCACTAATCCAGGCTCTCCCAAGCAACCTTTCCTGGGTAACTTGAAGCTTCAAGAGTAAATGTCTTTTAGTCACGGGTCGGTTTTGCTCTCTGTCGGAAGACCTGGGGAAGCTCTGAACCCTTAAATCTTGGGCCGCCCGGTAGTAGTGGTAGCAGCAGTATATGTAGAAGTAGCAGCAGTACCAGTCGCACGGGTAGTAGTACCAGTCGTCGTCGTCTTCGTCGCAGTCGCGATGTTTTCAGACAATGGTGGCGACGATGATGAGGATGATGAGGAACATGTATGAAGAAGATGATCCTGGCATCGATATCGATATTGCTGGCTACCACGAAACTGGGGCAATGACAATCTTGCTACCACTTCTCAGCAGAGCCATCAAAACGTACAATCCATCATGATGCAGCCGAGGATCAGCAGAAGCTCCGAGCCCTTGAGGTTCCCGGTTGCTGAGGCAGGTTCCTTCTAGGGTTGCGAGTCGTTTGGTGTCAGATGGCTACACTACACCCCAAATCTATGGTCTCAACCCCGATCCTGAAACCTGCAAAACCCAAACCCCTTTTCCTTAGCTCTGCACGAACGCGCTGTACTGAACTGAAGCCGAATCCCCGAACCGGAACTCCTCCACCCCCAACCCCGAAACCCTGGCCTGAGAACCCTCAACCCTCAAGCCTAACCCGAGAAACTGAAACCCTAATCTAGAAAAATCCGTGATATGCTGGGGGGGCCTTCTTAGCTGGATTGGGAGTTGGGGTTTATGATCCTAGAATTGCAAAAAAGGAGCCACCAGAATAGTGTAGCTAGTTATTAAGGCCCTCAGCATCCCTCAACCCTAACCAAAGAAACCCAAACACTAATCTCTAAATCCGTAAACCCATGTAAACCCGAAACGCGCCTTCAGCTCCACACTCGCTTCAGCTCTGTCCTCTGCCTTAGTTGCTGAGTTCATAAGCCCCCCAAATTGTACACTTTCGGTTTTATTGTGTGTAAAAGTGTACACTTTCAGTTTTATAGTGGGTAAGGTAAGATTATCCCAAAAAGCGTAAAGTGTATCCACTCAGCTACTGAGCTGCTCTTTTGGGCGGAGCCTCCCGGACCAAGCCGGCCACGGCCACAGCGACCGGCATTGCGCTGAGGCCGGCGAGGAGCAGGCTACCACCTCGACTTTGGGTTCCTTTAAAGGGATCTATCAGGGGTTAGGTTTCCTTTAAAGGGATCTAGAAGGGGTTCGGGTCTTTTAAAGGGATCTATACCTAAACCACCAAAAGAAGGACAAATAATGGCCTAATACCTTTAAAAGGCTATCATTCCACATACTTTTGGGGTCCAGTAAGGGGGTCCTGTACGAGGATCGGTATGGGTTTAAAAATTAGGATTTAGGAATTTAGGAGTTTAGGGGTTTGGGTGTTTAGGGTTTAGGGGTTAAGGTTTAGGATGGTTTAGGGGTTTGGGGGTTAGGGGTTTAGGGGTTTAGGAGTCTAGGGGTTCAGGGGCTTGGGGTTTAATGGTTTAGGGGTTTGGGGTGTACCTAACACTAGGCCAGCGACGCCAGCGACCCGCCGAAAGAGCGAGGCCGATACTAACCACGACAGGGGCGAGGGCACCTCCCAAGTTGTTGGAGCAGTTCCTTGGGCGTTTAGGGTTTAGAGTTTCGGGGTCTAGGGTTTCGGGCTCTTGGGGGTTTGTTCGGGGGTTGAAGCTCGCACGGTTCTATCACAGGAATTCTTATTAGTAGGCTTCTTGATGGTTTCTGCAAGGATAAACGCTTGAAGTCTTGAGGTGTAGAGTTTCGCCTGTACGTCTCTGCGGATTTAGGGTTTCGGGCACAGAATCTCCAGGGTTCCGGCCAGGTCAGGGTTTAGGGTATTGCATGGTGTAAGGGGTTTCTTGTTTGGGTATGTTTGGGTCCGGCGAACGTTACCCTTTAAGTATACAATCCTATATCCATATCCCACCTGCCCTGATTTGAGGGGTACTACAATAACTCAATTTTCGATACTCGCTATAGTCTGATGTACAGTGCTGTCAGTGAGCCTGGAACGTGTGCTTCACATCCACCCCCCAAAACAATATGGAATACAGTCTGTAGCACTATAGGGATGACTTGCTGGCTTCGGAATGATGCGGCAAACTTCCCGAAGGCTTTAAGTCCAAGGGCAAAAGGAGGGACCCTTAATAAGGACCCCTAGGTATATACCCTTCATATATCTATTATATACCCATTATATAGCCCATTATAGGGTAGGGGTCCCCATTAAGGGTCCCTCCTTTTCCCCTTTGATTAAACATAAAACTGCACCAAGGCTCCATATCGACCAGAAGAGCCCTCGCTCTTTGGGCATGCACCAGGCGCTAATCACCCTTGCGCAGGAGGGGCTACCGAAGCCCTGGAAGAGGCCATTGAAGGACCACAAGACTGCGAGGGTCAGGGTGAGCCAGCAAGCTGGTAAAAATGCAGCTGCGATGTTGCAGGAGCCGGTCAGCAAAAGGCCTGAGTCTGAGTTGCTCGGCTCATAGGCAGACAAAAGCTCAGCCTATAGTTTTTGATGCCTCTGGACAAGTTGATAATCCTTGCAAGTTGAGCCGCCAAGGTGCCTATGACCAAACATCGAGATGCTGGAAGATCAACTGTGAAGACGCTCGTAAGCACTTTGCTCAAGCCGATGGCGATTTGACCCGAGCTGAGTATCAAACCCAACCTGGTCGTCAGGAGGCTTCCCTGAACCCTAAACCCCTGAACCCGAAACCCCTAAACCCTAAAACCCTAAACCCCTGAATCTTACACCCCTAAACCTTAAAGCTTATACACCCCTCAACACTAAACTGCCCTAAACCCTCTTTCTTAGGATAACCGTGCCACTGGAGTGTATGCCCAGTGGGCGCCGCCTGAATTACAGCATCCTTAAGAGCAAGATGTCGGCAAACGATGCAAGCATAGAAATGAAGGATGTGGAGACGACAAGAAGCCAAACATCGTCCAAACTACTAAAAGAAGTGAGGAGGAGCCCGAGCACACTCACGCATGCACACGCATTACACACAGGAAGCAGCACTAAAGCGTCGTGGTCGTGCTGGTGCTACTGTTGCAGTGCTGTGTCTGTACATCTTGCTTTAGCTCTTGCTCCTGCGAGTGTTGTTGCTCATGTCGTTGTTGTCGTCACTGCCACTGCTACGGTGGTGGTGGTTATGCTGCTGCTGCTGCTGGCCGTCGTAATGGTGATGATGATGATGGTGATGATGTTGTTGTTCCAGCTGGCGGTACCGTTGCTGTTGCTGTCGCTGCTGCTGCTGCTGTTGCTTTTGTTGCTGCTTTTTCCTGGCCGTGGCCGTGGATATGCCTGTCGTTGTGGCTTCTCTTCGTGTCTTGTCGTGTGTGGTCTTAGGTTGTTGTTGTTACCGCCGCGAATGTTGCCGCTGCTGCTGTCTTGCTGCTGTTGTCACGATTACTGTTAGTTGGGCTGCTGTTGTATTTCAGTCTCTACAGCTCGCAGCAGCTGCAGCCACCGTGGCTAGAACAATGCCGAGCATGTCACACATCGAATCTAAGCCCCTAAACCCTAAACCCTAAACCGGATCGACCCGAAGCCGGGAAAGGATCGAACCTTCAGCCCAGCAACTTTCGCAGGTCCAACCTCTGCTGACAGACCAGGGCAGGTCCGGCATAGGTCAGCGAGTAGCGACAGACATAATACCAGGCATAGGCCAGAATCCTTTGGGCAGCGCGTCCGATATGGCAGTTTCTGAAAATAGGGGACCCTAAGATAGTACCTTAAATAGTAGGATCCCAAAATAAGGCAGCCCTTATTCTCAGAAACTCCCATATAGGCTATGTGAGAATGGGGCCAAAGATATACAGGGACTGTAGGGACAAGTCTTCCGACCTCGAGCTCACCACTATAGGGTCTACAGCTGAATAGTTCAAGGTGTCACCTCGTTGTTTTGGTTTAACCAATTATATAATCAGGATTCTATAAGGTAACCCCAAAAAGGAACTACAATGGAGACTATAGGTAGGTTGTAGCATTTGATACATTCCAGTCGTGGTTTGAGAAACACACCTTTAAAGGAGCCGATAAAGACACCCTGAAAGGGGAACTCCTCAAACAACCCAAAGGAATCCTTAAACACACCCTTACAGGAATCCTAAAACGGGCCCTTTCAGGCTTCAGAGAGGGTGAGGGTCGTTTATGAGATGCGGGATGCTAGGGTATTTTTGGGTATCTAGGATGCTTACGAGTTCTTAATTGTGTTTGTTAGGGTGGTTCAAGTATTGCTGAGGATTTGGGGTATGGTATGAGGGGTTCGGGGTCTCTACCAAACTACATCAAGTCAAGGCCTACCGGTGCAGTGTTTTGGATGCGGGAGTAATAAGTCAAGCAAGGGTCAATACTTCTACACCCTAAACCCTGTTAGTTTTGCTCAGTGATACGGACTTAACTCAGCAATGGTACCGGTCAAATGGCTACTGCGCACCTGGTCTAGTGGTCCGGTAGCATCCCACACAAAACAACCCGCACAAGATTCTAATACGGGGGAGGGCTTTAATGATCAGAATAATTAGGGTTTTGGTGCCCATTCTACTATAATTATACTAAGGAACCCCCACAATACTATAGGCCGTATAATTACGGCCCCTACAGTAGCCAAGACTCAGCCCCGCTATGACGGCTGCACGGCGTGGTCGGAGATCTGGCGCCAGCCGGCCGCGCTCAAACGCACGGCGCCGTGGCGGAGCTCCGCAGGATCTGATTCGGGTTTGCCTCTGAGTCTTTACCCTAAGGGTCCAAGTATTCAATGATATAACATAGGACTTCTGGGCCGTCTAAGTTAAGCTACCTTACTAGGGATCTATAGTAAATACTGTGGTTTCCTTATTATGATACCTATACTGAACTTAGAACCCTAGCACAAAATAGAATTTTTAGCTGTTTCTTAGGGATTATAATAACGAAAAATTCAAAATTATTTCTAAGTACCCCTAAGTGAGTCTTTACCCTAACCAGCACCCTCCTTGTACCCTCAAATAGGGGTATATGGTCCCAAATAAGGGGCATTTAGGGTCTAATAGAGGATAGATGGAGGGTCTCGGAAGGGTCCAAGTATTCAATATCATAGGACTTCTGGGCCTTGTTAGGTACCAAAACCGATAAATAAGGACTACTTGGAACCTTGGGGCTATTGAATAAGACCCGTTTGTACCAAGCTAGCAGCTTCGCAGGGTGCAGGCTTTTGGCTTCAGGGTTTACCCAAAGGCCCCATAGTAGTTCCTTTTTGTGGCTCATATTTAGAAGCCTCTTATGTAATCCCCAAAAGGAACTACTATGGGGCCTATGGGTAGTATGCTGTTGAGAGAAGCGGCCGCATCGAGTGCATCCAGCGTGAGCTTGGGAAAACCTCCAGTCGCTCCGGTCCGCGCCAGGGGCGTGGAGTTGGCAAAGCTTTGGCCAAGATCTGCACGCCTCCATGGCTGCCCTTAAGCAGGGCCATCCTTCAGAAACAAAATGATGAAGACTCTCTTCTTTGGGGCTTCTACATGACGCACTGCTTCACGCTGTCTTTCTGGGCCCAAGAGTATGGTGCTGCGCTTGAGGAGTTTGAAGACAGTTTGTATCCAAACTCCAGGGCGAGCTTTCTACAGTGCAGCTTTTGAGTGACGACCGGAAGTGAGCTAGGATTTAGGGTTTAGGGTGCCATGTGAAAATCTCTTCGGCTTGAGCCTTGGCGCCGTGGTGCCAGGGTCCCGAACTTTATCGCACCTTGCATTGCAGGGTTCGCGTGACCGGGTGCTGGCACTTGCGGCCCAGTTGGTGGAACCTGGACCCCGAGCAGGACCGAGCTATAATCCTACCGGTTACTGCCAACAATCGGGGCCTTGATAATTAGAATAGGCTTTTGGGGCCCGCTATACTATGATTATGGTAAGGAACCCACAATTTAGTACAGGCAATTATCATTTAAGCCCCATATAATACGAGTGTCGGGCTTTGCTTAGACCCTAAAGGTATGCCGTCCTCGGGTCTCGACGCTCGGGAAGGTTTACAGAAAAGGTCTTGCAGAATCTTGCAAGGTTCCTACAAAGGGTACTTTAAGAGGGCTGATGATGGTCCCTGTAAAGGATGCTATAATAGGGTTGCTTCTGGTCCTGCTAAGGGGTAAGATGCTGAGTTTTTGACGGTCTTTTCATAATAAGGTTCCTTGAACCCCGTAATTAATAAGGGCCCCCTTCAAAGTTTAAACGAACCCTGTCAGAGCTCATTATAAATCGTTTTAGGACCCTAAACCCTAAACCCCTAAACCCTTTCAAGGACCCTGCCCCTAAGACCGCCTGCTGCACTGCGTCGCTGGCGCGGTGGCCCTCGGCGGCCACAGCCGAGCGCGCTTCCGTGCGAGCCTGGCTTGGCGTGAGCTGTATGTAACCGGGTTTATTTAGGGTTTAGGGGTTCAGGGTTTAGGGATGTTTAGGGTTTAGTATTTAGGGTTCAAGGTTTGGGGGTTTAGGGTGTAGGGTTTAAACGGTTTCGGGTTTAGGGGTTTGAAAGTTCAGACGGTTTGGGTTTAAGGTCGAGCATTTACAAACATCCTTGCCTAGGCCTCCATTATTACAACTATACTATATTATACACCAAAACCCTGTTCTAACTACTAAGGCCCATATGTTAGTTGAGGGTCTGACCTGCGGACTTCAGGTGATTTGGGCTAACATTGGCTGTCAGTCTTCCTATTCCTATCTCTTTCTCAAACCGTATGTTTCGGGTTTAATTTAGGGCATGGGCTTATGGGCTTTGAAACCTCCAACCCTGGGACTAAGCAAAGCCTGGTGTTTCGGAACCCTCTGAATACCGAGACTTGCAACTTGACGTTGGTTGAGTTCACCTGGCTGAAGTTACATGAAGCCTCGCAAACCTGGCCTTTAAGGAAATATGTAAAGAAATCGAAACATCATGGGTTGTTCTGAATAGTTGTACTCCCTTAGGAGGAACGGGTGCAAACGTGTTTCTGTGTAATTCGCAAGTCATCTTTCGATCTTTACAAGGTTCATGAATCAAAGTTGGATCCTGGATGTGCAACGTGCGACGTTCCCTGGCTCAGACCAGGCTATACCCTAAACCCTAAACCCCAAAACCCTAAACCCTAAACCCTATACATAACCTTCGAGTTTCAATCACACCTACGGGAGCGAACAGAAACATTCCTGGGCTTAGCCCAAGGCCCCGGCCCGTCTCAGATTGCACCAAACAGAAAAACCCAGAGGAAATCAACTTGAAGAATGTTCCATTGTCATCAAGGTTTAGGGTTTAGGGTTTTAGGGTTTAGGGTTTAGGGTTTAGGGTTAACATGGCATGAATCTAGAACCTACAGCAGGGACCAAATGGACGATGTCACAAGCAAAAAGTATGGCAGGCACACGAGTCAGCCCGCTTTACAAATGCAACACACACGTGCACACACAGACAGACACAGAGGCACACTCTTAAGATTACACACACACGCGCACACACACACACAAAGATTTAAGTTATTACTTGCTTACTCGCTTGCCCCCCGGAGGCGGAGGAACCTGCCTCGGCAACCGCCTGAGCCACAATGCTGCGCTCGAACTCCTTGGGCTTGGAGTATGGAGTATGGAGGGCAGAGCTTACGGACCGCAAATCCCTAAACCCTAAACCCTAAACCCTAAACCCAGAACCGTCGAACCCTAAACCGCTTACGGACCGCAAATATCGGAGAACCGTCGAATTTGTGACGGTGTAGGACATTGAACCAAGGGCTCGGCGGGTGGGATGAAGGTAAGTCGGGGGGATTCCCCGATAATAGTTCCTACAAACGCTCTGTCTCTCTCTCTCTCTCTCTCTCTCTCTCTCTCTATCTCTATCTCACTCTCTCTCTCTCTCTCTCTCTCTCTCTCTCTCTCTCTCTCTCTCTATATATATGTGTGTATACATATGTATGTATGTATGTATGTATGTACATTTGCATACTTATATTTGTATTTAAATTCTATCCAAATTTAATGTCAAACCGATTTAGATTGTGTGACATTGTGTTATATTACATCTTACTACATTGCACGGTACTAAAATTCATATTATCCTCTGTTATATGATACGTTACTTTACTAGGCCATGCAATACGATGTTAGACTATATTACACGAAATTCTACCATAATATAATATAATATAATATAATATAATAATAATATATATATATATATATATATATATTTCATTACATTGTATAGACCTCTGCGTGCAGGAGTTCCTTACCCTATCTACTTCCCTTCCATCTTGCCAGGGGCATGATTCACACACGACTTGGCTTCACCTCGCTGTGTCTTGGAGCTGATCCGTGCGGTCTTGGCTGAAGGGTTGACAACTTCAGAACCCCATACACGAACAAAGCTCTGATTCCAAAGCCCCTCTCGATCAAATCTCGCGATCATGGCTTGGAAATCTTGGAATGTGCCGGGTTTAGGGTGGTTTGGGCTTCAGGACAAGAGGATTGACAGTAGTCTATACTGGACATATGTAACACGAGAAACAACCATATGCAGATGTTGAGGGGCCACAATAAGTAGCGTGAGTAAATACCTTTACTAGCAGCTACTAGAGAATCTTTTTCAGGGTACCCGGAACAAAAATGGTAGATACTATGCTATGCCTCAAAAACCTAGCTCATATCGTCAAACTATTGCTCTCAAATTTACTCCAAACTTAAGTCCGCCATATTATTGCAGATTTAGGAAGCCTCCAGAAACTCCAGCATTCAACACGTGGAACACCCACTTGTCAAGAGGCCTCCGTCAGTGCACGGCTGAGAGCTTGAGAACGTTCCATGGTGCGCGTCCGCTCCTCCTGCCACGGGAAGTATTCATAACGTTTAGACGTTTCAGATTTCGAGTTCCCTTCGAGTTATCTCGGAGCATGCATGAGTATTGCGGCCGAGGGAGAAGGGTTCACGGCTTGGGCGGTGGGACTCAGCGGGAGTGTGCACCTGACCGGCCATCAGATGGATGTGTGCCGCGACATGCCGCGACCCTCTCAAAAGATCATGCAATGCCCCAGCTGTGCTCGTACGACGACAAACCCCAAAACCTAAATCTATAAACCTGAAAGGCCAAACCTCGATAACACGCTGATTCCAAGACTCAGGATTACAGATCAATGGGGTCTCGAGCTTGACTCGCCTTCTACAGAAGATGCACGCAGGAAGCACAAATTTCCGGTTGTCGCGACTTTTTGGGCTGCGGAGGTCAGGGATGAATCCCACTGCAACAGACGAGAATAACTGAACGGTGTTTAGGGTTTAGGGTTTAGGGACTCAGATGAACAGAAGTCTCAGCCCCGGAGCCCTAAACGCCGCAAGTCTCGGGACCCTAGGGCCCTAGATTTGATGCGGTGCCTTATTCCGCAACTCTTAAGCCCTTCTGCACACATGAAACTTCAACTTCAAAAGATATCCGGAAGTCTAACTCCATCCACAATGCATCAGATCTCGGGTATTGCAGGCCCACAGCTGACATGCTACCGCCTTTCTTCCGAGATGCCGCCGAATCTACTGTCCGTGGCAACTTCTTACCGAATGCATGTGTGAGCGATGGCTCCTCAGCCACCCGCAGGCACAACATTCGGACGGGCCGGGGCTTCAGAGAATGAATCCCAAATTGGCTGGTGGTCCCTGGAATAAGGATCACTAAACCTAAACCCTAAACAAACCCTAGACCCTACACCCTATTCTCTCTGAAACACCCATAGGGCATGGTCCTGAGGATGCTTTACAGAGCTTCGAAACACTTCTCGGCCAACAGCGCGAGGTCAGCTCAGGAGAGCTTCGGAGGTACGAAGGCGATATGAGGGAGAGGTGACAGGCACAAGCTCACATCCTTCTCCAGGACCACCTGAAGATTTCGAAACTTAGAGGCACTGGGCCCCCAGTTTCGGAGGTCCCTATAATAGCAAGGATCTTACCACTCAGGGACTCTAGTGGTCTCTAGATCACATATTTCTGCTTAAAGCCCTCGCCTAAAGCCGCAAGCTCCGAAACCCTCAAACCCCAAAACCTGCATCTCAACCCGAGTTTCCGAAAATTAGGGGTACCTTATTTTTCGGGTCTCTATGATAAGGATCCTACTACTATTTAGCTTATTAGGGTCCCCTATTTTCGGAAACTCCCGAATAGGCAACGCGGGTGTCTGAAGCTTCGAGCCTGCGCCGGGGTTACCAGATTCCGATCGTCCGGTTAAGGGAGTTTAGGGTTCTAGGATACCCAGTAACCTAAGAACAAAAAGGCCTCTCTTTTTGGTATTGGGTAACTTTATAAGGAACCTAGGACTACAAAAAAGGAATAAGGGTACTACTGGGCATCCTAGGTTTAGGGTTCCATTTAGCGTCTCGAGCTTTGGTTTTAACGGATGAGTTATACAGGGGGCCTTGAGCCGGTGGTACCAGATTCCGATCAGGATGTTGTAGAGGCCGCAAGACACCATCAAATGCCAGCCCCAGGCATGAAAATTCCAGTAATCGTAGGCTGGCAGCCTTCGAGTGTTCGGGGTTGTAAGGTTCTGTGGTTCAGGGTTTTTGCGGGTTAGTCTGTCCGAGGGCAGCTCTACCTGTTAGCTCCATACCTCCATACCATCTTCTATAGAGTAACACAAGGTCTTAAACAGCTGTCTGAGGCAGATGCCATGGGGTTGAACAAGTTCATGTAGGGCTTTGGTATGTCGGGTCTTATATGGCCTGGGGCTCAGGGTTTAATATTTCGCATCTCGGGTTTGCAAAATGGTACCAGATGCCGAATGAAGTAGCATATGCAGCTGGTTGCAAAGCTTCAGGTCCATCAGCCAAACCGTAATCGCCACCCCCAAAGCGATGAAGCCGTACCTGAACAGCATGTGGCCGGGATACCAGTCTAGAGTTGTACTAGTGACACTGAGGCAGATCATCAACTGACACAAATGATCTGGACCACTATTTCACTAAACCTTGCGAAGCAAAGTCACGACATGACTTTTCTCAACTCCGTCATGTCCTTGGGCAAGCTGCGGTAGAACAGCGTCACCTGGCACTGTTTCAAAGAGCAACACTTCGCGGACTTAGCGACACACATACCTTTAAACCCCTGTTTCAACAGCTCGTTGGACAACTTTCTTGATGCTTCGGATCCTTCAAACGAGACCACCAAAAAATCGACACAAGATACGACAATTGAGGTCTAGGAAACCCTATAGTACATGAGCGGGTTGCAATAGACCGCCGCCATGGCAATTCTCTACCCACGGCTCCGGATGAGAATCGATCCCGGATCATACCCGAGGTTACAGTAGAATCCAAAAGGCTGAAAACCCAATAGCCTCAATCCTTAAGAGTAATGTATGTGGAATCCCAGCACTATTTGGCCTTGATCCGGTTTCCAACTTTATGGGGTTTACTGTAGGGTGAAGGGCTTAGGGTTTAGGGTTCACCAAAAATTGATGCTCCTTTGCTCCTGAATCTTCGAAGCATGCTGCTATCCAGGGCCTCGAAGGTAGGGTTCTACTGGGGAAACCATGGAGAGTAGATTTTTAGCGACTGATTTTAACATACTTGTCGGAGGCCTCACAAGGTGGGATGAAAGAAGGTGGGATTAAGGATCCCTTATATAATGGGAATATCCCACCTACCTTCATCCTACCTTTTGAGGCCCCCGAACTTGTAACTCATAGCTGAATTGACAACTCCCTGAATCTTGCCATAGAGAGCCTCATGACCTGCCGCCCCAGAAATCCCGCCGTAACCATCAGGATGCGCTCTTTCCAAATACAGTTTTAAGAAGCAGGCTCTAAACAAAGAGGGTACAAGGGTACTATTACGGGGCCTCATTTAAGGACTTTGTGAGAGTTCTGCAAACACCTTGATTGAACGGGGGGGTTCGGATCTTCTTTAGGGATTCTAAACTAGGGTCTCGCTTCAGGCCAAGTTCATGTGAGCCCAGCACTCTTCCGAGTAGGACGTCAGAGAACCAAGCCCTAGCAGCCGAAATAGCTACACAGCAAACACCGCCTGCGCGCGCTAGATAAGCCTTCTACAGCTGCCATGTGAGAGTCCCAGAAATGTACGAAGAACCGTTCGTAAAGTACCTCCAAATATCGGGCACTCCCATGTTAAAACACCGGGCGTATCACCACCGCAGCGTGGGAGTTTCGCCGGGAGGTCAAGCATTTGAGGCCACTACTGTTCACAAAAGCTCCGCAACGTATCTAGGAGCAAGGTTGACTAGACTAGGGATTTGGGGATATCACGATACATGTGTATAGGCACTATGCACGGGATACTATGTCAAACTTTCCAATTCCCTATATTACATGCCGTGCCCTAAACCCTATACCCCGAATCATACACTCCCTACACTTCGGATAACCCTCAACCCCTGAAAATCATTTGTATCCCAATCGAGCGTGTGTGTGCGTGTGTGTGGGGTGTCAGTGCGGTAGGGATCCCATGCAGTAATTAGGGTCTACATTTGATTCCAAATGTCCTCATTTCCTGAACCAGCCCGGCAGCCCCATTTTCGACAGACGGGCCTTGCAAACGGCGAGGAAAGTGGCAAGGCCAAAGAAACCGTGGAAGGAGAACCATTGCATGTCCCCGCTTCGCTTGGAGGTCGCTAATGTCGCGACCACAGCGTAGACAAACCTGGGCTGAAGGTCCGAGCAGTAGAAGGACTTCGGGTTTCTGTAGAGGCTTTGATTTAAGGGTTTCGGGTTTAGCGGTTTAGGGTTTAGGGGGTTTGGGGGTTTGGGGGTTTGAGTTTGGGGTTATATGGGCCAGGGCGGTGGGGCTAGAGAGAAGGGCCCATGAATCGGTTGGATTCAGGGTCGGCACCTTAAAATCCTTAAAAGGGTTTAGGGTTTAGGGTTTAGGGTCGGCACCTTAAAAGGAAGGGCATCTGTAAGCATCGCATCTTCGCCCATGCGGGCACCAACAAAGCGGACAGCATGTGTGTAGGTACTTGTACGATGTGATGTCTGTAGGCCATGTCGGTATGCACATGTGCGCACGCATGCACGCTTGACATGGTGCCAGAAGACTTGGTTTCTGTAGGGTTTGGGTTTACCCAGAGGCCCCAAAGTAGTTCTTTTTTGGGATTACCTAATAGGGTTCTAAATATTGAACCCCCAAAAGGAACTACTATGGGGCCGCTAAAGCTCTCGGGGTTTAGGGCTTAGAATTCGGGTTTGGGATGTACAGCTTTCAGTACATGCCTACAGGGTCGGGTTGGCGATGCCGCCGGAAATGGCTTGCTAGCATCAACAACAAGCCACATGCACACTCCGAAAAACTCGCTATCTTTGTATGCATACATACATATGTATATGTATACTAGGATACCCAGTAACCTAAAAACAAAAAGGCCTCTCTTTTTGGTATTGGGTAACTTTATAAGGAACCTAGGACTACAAAAAAGGAATAAGGGTACTACTGGGCATCCTAGTATTTCTACACACACACACACTCAACAATACCCTGCCTCATGTTCAGGATCCCTGCCATTCAGCTCTGCAACCCAAGCCGACCCAAGTAACAAAACTGCCAAGCAGGCCATCCTTCCAAAATCCACCATACCCTAGCCGCCCCCAAAACATCCTAGCACCACAGGCTCTTTACTTACCGTTGGTTAGTAGGGAATGGAAGAATGGTAGTAATAGTAGTTATAAGTATACCCGATTCCTCCATTCCCTACTAACCAACGGTAAGTTTAGGCAGCCCAGCAACAAAGCGACTGGCAAGACACGGTATGCCGGCTGAACATGCTTCTGTTCGAACAGGACGTACAGGATCATGGCCTCAATGGTTGTGTGTCTGGTCCGGGTGTGTGATAGGGTTGGCGGTATGGGCCTTGGCATAGCGACAGCGAACATGCAAAATGCAAATACATACCCCAATATCTGTCTGTACATCCATCTCTCCACCTATCCACCTGTACATCCATCCATTATTTCATCAATCGGTTTGTTATACACTACATTGCACTACGCCACAGTACGTGGCATGTACATTCGTTGGCAAACAATACGTGTATACACACATACATGCATACGCTCGTACACACATAGCTACATAAATCCATGCATACATGCGTAAATGTATGTATATATATATATATATATATATGTATGTATGTATGTATGCTTGTTTGTTTGACAAATGAATGTACATATGCGTGCATGGATGTGCTTGCACAGTCTGTATGTATGTACGCATGCATGCATACATACGACACACATATACCCTATAAACATATTTACATACATGCATACATACATAGGTGCATACATGCGGATGTACGTAACTAAGATGTACGAAGCATCAAAACTGAATTGGCTGGATCTGAAGAAGCTTTCTCGAATGCAAAGGTATGTGTACAACCAAACATAGTAACCAAACATGTACGGAAACTACTAAAGGCATCAAACAAAAACATCGAGAGTGCATTGAACAACTAGAAAGCACATGGGTACTAGCATAGGGACATAAAAAAATACAGATGTATCTATGCATGTATGTATGCACGTATGTATGTACGCATGTATGTATGTATGCATGTATGTATGTATGTAGTGCATGTAATTAATGCATACACATATGTAACTATGCACGTATGTACGCATGCATGTCTGTACGTAGATATGTAGTTTTTATTTATGTACATATGCATGTATTTACAAGGAAATAAAGGACAACGCCTGCAAGCGAACAAAACAACAACCCAACATTCAAACACATACAGTACATGTAGAGTGGCAGGTAGAGAAAGAAAGAGAGATAGGGAGAGAGCCAAAGCGAGGGGGAGTGAGGGCGGGAGGGAGGGAGGGAGGGAGGGGAAGGAGGGAGGGAGTCTGGAGGGAGACAAACAGACATACAGACCGACCAGACCAGGCAAAGGAGACCAAGAGAGAGAGAGAGAGAGAGCCAAAGCAAGAGACCGAGAGAGAGCGAGAGAGAGAGAGAGAGAGAGAGAGAGAGAGAGAGAGAAAGAGAGAGAGAGAGAAAGAGAGAGAGAGAGAGAGAGAGAGAGAGAGAGAGAAAGAGAGAGAGAGAGAGAGAAAGAGAGAGAGAGAAGAGAGAGAGAGAGAGAGAGAGAGAGAGAGAGAAAGAGAGAGAGAGAGAGAGCGAGACCCAGAGCGAGAGCGAGAGACAGGCAGGCAGGGGTGCTTGGGAGAGAAGCACAAAGCACAGTGGAAGGATGGAATACAGGGGAGAGACGAGTCGAGTAGTTCAAAATTTACGAGTCTACTCTCCCCTGAACTGACACGAAACCTCACGAGCGTTCTATTTCCAGATTAGTCCCAAGGACATCACCTGCAGGGCACTGGCTCACTGGCAGCCTTACACTCATGGGAGCTGTTAACAAGCTTTGACGATCATCGCCTGTGCAACAAAGACCGCGGGGCAAAGCAAACTTCAAGTTTCCACTGCCCCGGCCTCCCCGGCTGGAGGGTTTACGTATTATACTAGTCACGGCTGCTTTTAAGGGCACCCTCTTTCAGAAGAGCAAAAATCACCTACAGCAAAAACCGAGGCGAGATGCAACAGTCCACAGCATTGGCACCTGGACAGGCTCATACTCGCTCGGAGAGTTCCGGGCTATCTGGGTTTCAGGACGGTTCTGTGTTTTTGTTTGCTTCTATGGCACCCTTTCCAACTTCAGGTACCGGTGTAACGCTTAGGGTTTCGGGTATGATGTTAGTATTTGCTGGGGTGAAGGCAGGAGTCAGAATTTCGAGAGTGAAGCGGAGGACTTGTGGTTCTTGGTGCAGTTTAAGGCTCAAGGTTGGGGGCTTGGGGTTCACCAGCAACCCGCCACTACCATCTATTCTGCCCTAATTCCCACTATTAAGGACCACAAGGGCTCTATGAAAGCGTACTTGGGGGCTGCTGCTAGGGCTGAAGGCATAAATCCTGGACTCAAAACCCGCGAAGTGAAGGGCGGGGCTTCTGACGGGGTTTTCTGGGAGGGTTGGCCAGGACGGCTGGATCCTAAGCAGCTGCATACTTGGAGGGTCGGGTGTCTTAGTAAGCAGGTAGTAAGCAGACTTATAAGTACCCTAAAAGGGGCCCTAGTTGGGGTTATGGTACTTATAAGTCCCTAAAACAACGAGTTACTAAGTCCCCCGACCCTCCAAGTAGAGGCCCCACAGAGCTTTTAACCCCCTCATTCCCGAGGAGCCCAGTACAATAGCATTCGCATCTTCGGCTAAAACCACGCCAGGGAGTAGAGCTGAGGGTTTAGATTAGAGCGGCTAGAGGACTAGATCAGAATACGCAGGTAGTTTGAGTCTTACCATGGCTTGGGAATTATTTCGGTGAAGTCTGGCTAGGGTTTAGGGTTTACGAGGGTGCCTGAAGGGTAAGCCGCCCAGACTTTACATGCCGGAGGCGGCCCAGCAAGGCAACAATCATCGACATCGCAAGTTTGTGATACCTAAAGATTGGCCTCAAAACATGTGAGCATCCCTGAAACCATTCCCGAACTTGTAGGTCCCCCCCAGCGATTTTTGAGACCCTTCATTTTTGAGATCTGGGAAACTATAATCAAAAGCAACACGAAAACCACAAGCACGGATTCGTGCGCCTGGTCCCAGCGCTGGTGCTCGAAAAGCAAAGTCCCGTGAAACGCCACACTTCCCAAGCCAACGATGGTTACGCTCAGAAAAGCGATAATGAACCTTGCAGGACCAGTGTCATATACTTGTGCGATGGTTGATATGGGTTTAGAGTCAGAGCATATGCGGCTTGGGGTCTTTGGGTTTATGGTTCACGGTCTGGCTTCGGGCTGTCAGGGTTTTGGGGTTGTCCCATCGTCGCCTCCATTCCATGCAGTCTCTCCTCCGGAAGTGAATAAGGAGGGGCAGTATCCCAGCAACAGCGATGAACATCGATGTGAGGCTGTTGAAGAATTCGGCAGCATAGGGCGTCCTTGTGTCCGGGTTTGATGCTTTTGGGAGTGTCTTGAGCAAAGGTTTAGTCCTGTAGGGCCGCAATAGTTTGAATAAGGTTTGGGATGTACCATGCAATAAGTATAATAAGGAACCCCCAAAACTTAAGCCCTATTCTAATGAGAAAGGCCCTACAGAAGGCGTTGGATTCAACTTCCAGGTGCTGCAGAAAAAATTCCAAGTCTCGCGACCCCATGGCTGAAATGTATCTCGGCATACCGGCGGCAAGACGACTACGTCTTTCAGTAGCCTCAAACCCAAAACCCTGAGACTCAAAACATCACGATACCGTAAGTGCTAAAGCCTAACCCTGAACTGTAAAATCAAAACCCGAACAAACTCTAGACCACGGGGCAAACACTCTCCAACAAGCTGCCCCAAGAGCTGAATCCGCAGACATGACACGCATCAAAAGGTTAATGCATCTAAGCTGCAGATATGAAAACATTCTACTAAGCCCTACAAGCAATCGCAGTTCCTCTGAATACTTCCTGCAAACCCGCTTCCCCAGTACCCTAATAAGAACTAGGCAGCTAAGGTCTTGCGAGAACCCAGGCAGCCTGAATTTGGGGGGTATTGAATATTGGTGGCTTAAAGGCTTAAGCGGCTTAAGGAAAGAAATGCCCACAAGAGAATCAGAGTGTATGAAAAATGTGCCCAGGATCACCAGGTAGTTCCCTTCACACCAGTCCATTGTGGCCGTCGGCGGGCCCCAGTATCCCTCAAAGCCTTTCATGGTCGCCACGGCCGCCATCGAGAGATCGCACACAAAATGCTACTAAAAGGGGGGTGGGGGTTCTAGAGAATGAGGAATTGCGCAGAGCAGTCAGACATTTCGTTGTTTGAGTCTGTTGCGATGCACGGAAATCCACCGTGAAGTCGTTAAGGACTCGATGTTAGCAAGACATTGGGCAGGAAGTTCATGCTACTATCCTTGCTGCAATTCGACGGTGTATACCTCGCGAGACTCCCTTGAGAATGCGAGCTTAGCGGACAACAAACTCACAGCAAGCTTGGACTTTGCCAGCTCCCTCCTGCCATTATCAGAACTGCTTCGCTGTTCTTTGTCTGAGCAATCAGTCTCACAGGTATCCTGTGAACATCGCTTCCAAAGAATAATGTTAGAAGCTCATACACCCTAACTCTAAACACTTAAGTCGCAGACCCTAAACTCTACACCGTTCCTAGACTTAGTAGACTTCGGCTTGAGCTGTGTCCAGCTGTGCTTAGCCTCTCATCCACAAACCGCTCGCGCGAAGACTGGGGACTGAACAAACCTCTGAAAGGTTTAAGGATCAGGACAGGGATTATGGTTTAGGGTATACCCTAAAGTTTCGGGCTTGCGGTTTGGGTACAAGGAAAACCTCAGCAATCCTAAAACCTGACCCTGATCCGGAGTTCAACTAATGTCCTTCGCCAATTTTTGGATGTACTGCCCCCCCTCGCCCTTCCCGTTCGTGTCACCCGTCATTCCGATTCCCCGACTCCGATACAGTAGACGGTGGGCCCGACACACTGCAATCAATAAGCAACTCCACCCCTCAAAACAACCTCTTGCAATCATGTTGTAGTACAAATTAATAAAAACGATTCCAAAGGAATGCCGAATTTCAGACAATAGCGGCAACACCCTGCCCTAAACCCTCAACACCTAAACCCTAAGCACCCTCAATGTGTCTCCTCCATGGCTCCATTCCACTCCACGCGCAGCCGATCCATCTTCTCGCGCACGAAGTCCTGACAGCCGAGACTGTGTCAGGGTCTAAAGCTTACAGTAGAACTTCGTAAGGATATGATATAATCTGATATAACATGATGTAGATTAGGGTTTCAGGGTCAGGCATTGGGGTTCCTCTGAGGCAGCTGTTCGAATTTAGTGAGAGAAATGCCCAGGCATCCGTAAGCCCTAAACCCTACAGCCCAAAAACCCAAAAAACCCCAAACCCGAAAACCCTAAGACCCTAAGCCCCGAAACCCGTAAAACCTTAAATCCTAAAACCCGGTCCTGGATCTTTTCGAATGTGGTGCCGTCGGTGCCGTTGCTTCCTTTGTCCTGCTCCAGAGCATTGCTTCAGGGGTTTAGGGTTTAGGGTTTAGGGAACCTACCTTTTCAAGGACGTACGATACAAGGCCATCATAAGTCACAAATACAGAGAACAAAGTAGGTTTTGTGCGGAAGCATGTCTTGCACAAACTCCCCAAAACCTACACAGCATCCGTCTCGCCCTCAAGTGGCGATGTTTCCGCACAGCGCGAAAGGGCCTACAAGCGTTCAGGGATTTCGGCAAAGACCCAGCTAGGTTTACCAAAACACTCTGGCCTTCCTTGTGCCAACCTCTGAAAGGAAAGGAGACCCTGATCTTCGCTTTGAAACGCTAAACCCCAGAGATATCGAATGCATCCGTGGAAGGAGGCCCCGAAAGACGGAGAGGCACCCGAAGAGAAAGAGTGCCAAGGCCAACAGTCGCAGCATACTACACATACGAACATCTATACATACTTGAATACACTGAAGATCATTACGATGATTTCCTAATAGATAATATATTTCCTGAAAGAACTTATATATATATATATATATATATGTAGATGGTCGGTACAGCACATGACATTAACGGAGGTGCACGAAAGCTCTCGGGAGCCAAGCTTCCGGTTGGCGGCGTTAAACCGAGGTCAGAAGAGGCATGGGTACACATTCATTACTGAAGCTTTATTGCAACAAATCGCAAAACTATTATTCTGGAACTTGTTTGGTTTCCGCCTCTTCTGTCATGGCTGCGATCGTTGTTGTTCTGACTGCTGCTGGTTCTGCTGCTGCTGCTGCAGCTTTTTGTGTATCCTGCCGGAAGTTAGCTCGGGAAGTTGCTGTTGTCAAGTTGCTGACGGTCTTGCCATTATGGTGGTTGCTGTTGCCGTTGGTTGCTGCAGCTGCTGTTTGCTGATGACGACACTCGTGCTGTTGAAGAATGCTGGCCCGTTTGCAGATGCTGTCGCCTTAATTAATGTTGCTGATCGTGCCGCAGATCATGCTGCTGGTGATGTCATTTGCGATGCAGCACGGCCTTGTCATTGTCTTATCAAGCTACTGATGTCAGTGCTGCTTCTTTCCGAGTGATGCTGCGCGTGACAGCCGGACCGGAACCCTCAATTCCGTGAACCTTTAACTCGCAAATGTCCAAGGCATCCAGACATCAGAACCCAAATCTCTAGACCTACACTCCCACACACCGACACCAGAACGCCCGATAGCCGCAATCCCCAATGACACAGGAAACTGAATCCTGAAACCCTGAAAACCACTATGCCAATCCCAACATGCGCCGATCTAGAGTGTGAAACCGCAGCTCAAAAATTCCGCACCCACCAATCCCTAAACACACTCTCAAACCTCTAAGCCCTAAACCCCGACAGGTAAACCCCTAAGCCTGGAATTCTTGATAAAGACCCCAATACTTCTAGAAACCCTAAAACCGAAACCCCTGAAACTCTGAAACACTACACACCCTCAAACCAAAACCCAAAGCCCAAACCCCCAAACCCTAAATCATACCTCAAAGAACTAAACTAAACCCCAAATTCCAAACCTCACTAAACCCCAAACCCTTAACCCGTAACCCTAAACAGCAGGGAATGCCTCCCCGCTGGTCAGCGAGGCCAACAAATCCTCCCTGAGCTCCATGGCTTGCCTCGCCTGGGTCCTGGGCAAAGGGGTTTACTTACCTTTGGCTAGCAGGGAATGGAGGAATGGGGCACAATTTTCACCTTTATTACTACCATTCTTCCATTCCCTACTAACCCAAGGTAAGTTTAGGGACAAGGGAACTTAGTCCTTGATGATACGAATACACGATTGGAGGTGCTGTGGTTTTCAGGGCTTTACAGATTAGTCTTTAGGGCTTTGGATACCTTTAGTGAGTTATGTAGAGGTCACTTACGGGTTTGGGGTTGAGACGGTGCAGCGGTTAGAGGTTCAGGGTTTTAGGAGCAGGGCTTTGTCCACGCCGGTTTGAGGGTGCAGGGATGAGGGCTTCGGTACTTTCGTATCGTAGAACCTAACGTCTGGGGCCTCAGGCTTAGTCCGGGGACACTCAAAACCCAAGCTCTGAAACCCCAAGCATCGGAGGCTGCTGCTGAGGTTCGTTGAAACCGCAAGCACTTGAGGCTGCTGGGGTTCTAACGGTGTCTGTGTGTGTGTGTGTGTGCGTACTTGAACACAGGGACAAGGCATCTTGCACTGAGCACGGGGTGTGCAGGGCGTCTACGCCGATGGGCTGCGCAATATTCCAGAGCCACAAGACCTCTAACCCTAAACACACTAAACTAACCGTGACCAAGTATACCATCGGGGCAAGTTTTAACTCGAAGCCCAGGAACCGTGGCTCTTAAGTAGACCCCAACCCCCTCCGCTTCTCCCCCAACTCGCCCTCCGCCCTCCAGCACAGCATACCAGACCACTGAAAACCCCTAGTGGAGGCCAAAGGCTGCTGATCATAAACCCACTAACATCTCGAGCCTTGAACTCTGCAGTATAAAGCCAGTACACGGAACCCCACAGAGCACAAAGGCCCAATGACCCTTGGTGCCCTTGTAATCTCGCCGTGATAGCATACTCCAGGTCTCCTTCTCAGTTCTAGCAAGGACCAGAAGACAAGAATGGCGGCGACATCAGGGTTTGGGTGTTTAGGGTCTACAGGGCTCAGGGTTGCAATCCGGAGACCCCAAGATCAAAAAAGGGGTTTGCGGTTCAGGGCCTACAGGGTCTAGCGGCAGAAGGGTATTTTCTACTTGTGCACCTAGAACCTCTGAGGACTTTGCTCCACAGTTGATGTCAGCAGATCCACATTCGAACTCATCGAATCCACCCTCTCCTGTGTTGGGTGGTATCGGCTTTAGATTAGGGTTGAGGGCTCAGGGTGTCCAGCGACTCCAACATTTCTACAATAGGTTTAGGGTTTAGGGTTTAGGGTTTATGCATGGAGTTGTACCAGAGGGTTATTGCAATAAATTATGAAGGTCAGTCTCCTAAACTCCGAATCCAACATCTATTATAGCATCTTTGCTAGACCTCGAACCCGAAACCAATAAGCTCTTAACTATCAACCAAAACCCCAAGCCCCTCAGGATCTTTAACATTCATTACGCCGCATCTGCTTCGTAAGTACAGTGGTTGAAGTCCTTTGATGTGGTTTCAAGGCTTCACAGGGTCGAGAGGGTCGAGTTTGAAGCTTGGGAACCCTGCAGCCTCAAACCGTAAAGCCCTACGTACCTCCATCCCTAATATCCAAAACACCCTCAATTCCTAAACTCTCAAGCCCTAGAAAACCCCTAAGCTGTAAGCCCCTAAAGTCCTAAAGGCCTAATAACACCCTATAAGCCCTCAAGTCCTTAACCATGAACACTACAAGCTTGTAAATTTATACGCCCCCAAGCTGCTAAACCGTGAAACCTCGAATTACCGAACTCTTCCGGTGGCTGTTCATTACCACAAATCCCACAGAATTTATGAACACTTCGTGAATCCTCCTGGTTTCGGGCGTAGGGCTCTTCATGAAGTCTCTGGGAATGGCTGGCAGGGTGGGAGCGAACCTTGCCTCGTTGAGGGTTTACGGTTAAGGTCCTGTGGAATTGGAGCTTCAACTTTAGGGTGATTTTAGGGCCCAAGGTTTGTAGGTGAGGGCCCCAGGTTATAGGGGTTCAGGATGTAGGCCTGTAGCATTTAGGCTCTCGAGTTTTAGGGCTTGCGTTTGCAGGTTTACCACTAGCCCCCAGGTCTTATTGATGCGAGTGGCTTTGCGAGTAGCTACAGCTGCAACTAAAGACCGTACAACGGCAAGACTCCAGCAATGATGTTGTACCGACTGTGGAATACTCAACAGTGATTACTGGTGTTCAAAATGGCGTGCACGACGTTGTGGACTACTGCACTCGATCACGAACAGATGCTGTAGTGTAATCCTAAACACAACCCTATATACATCGCGAGCCGACGCCGAGGACCTCCAGGTAGCGAGTCTGCTGCAGGAGGTTCAGCAACTGCTCTGCAGGCCTCAGCGAGTCAGTACGAGATGCGAACATGAGGCCTATACAGGGGTTATGTTATGGTGCTTCGGGGTCCTGGATTATCATGAAGCCCGAGCTTATCACTATTGAAAAGTGGCTCACCTGCGTGCAGGGTGTAAAGGTAACAGAAGCTGGTTGCGGAGCGGGCTTTGCGTATGGCCGCGCACTGGTTCGGACGGATGGAGTTTCAGGGAACGGCGCAACTATGCCAAACAGTTTTCCTACCGGGATTGTCGCGAGGAATACCAGCAAAGCTGGGCTGCTCCGATATCGCGAACGCAGGACCTTTGCTGAAGACCCAAAAACAGCCCTCAAACCACCGCCGGCTAGGGGCTCTGTTCGGCTTGCAAATTATTGGAGGGCGGGCCTGATAAACCCTAAACCTTCTACCTAAATGTTAACCTTACAGCCTGAACTTCAAACCCCAAACCTGGCACCGGAACCGTAAAGTTCCCGCCCCTGAAGCTGTATTCCTAAACCTTCAAACTTAAACCTTTACAGTAGAAGCCTAAAAGTTGGAAACCCCATAGCCTCGATCCTGAAGAGTAATGGAAAGGGAATCCCAGCACTATTTGGCCTTAATCCGGTTTCCAACTTTATGGGGTTTACTGTAATCCCAAACCCCACTACTGCAGAATTTGCATAGTTGCACCCGAGAATCTCTGCTTTGGCCGCAGCAGCGGTTGCCTGTCCAGTTGGAGGAGCCCCCAAAAACACCCAGGGCTCCCTGAAAGTATAAAAGCAGCAAATGCTTAGTGTTACTTTAGGGTTCCTTTGAGGACTCAGGCTCTAGAAGGGTCTACAGGGAACTCCAGAAAGTTGGAATATGGTTTCATGGTAGGATACCCTATAATTTGCCATAGAAGGGTTAGGATAATCATATTCCAACTTTCTGGCTTTTACCCTAGGGTGTAGAGTGAACCCCATACAGTTGGAAATCGGATTAAGGCCAAATAGTGCTGGGATTCCCGATTACATTACTCTTAAGGATTGAGGCTATTGGGTTTCCAACTTTTGGGCTTCTGCTGTAGGGTGTAGTGGCGACTTGCCTTTAGTTACGGGTTCACATATCATTTCTTGTCGAAGCTGCTACTGCAAACATGTCTGCACGCCCAAAGCCCTAAATATCAGCATGTTGAGTTTGGAGCTCAGGAAAGACTTAGTTTAGGATTTGCGACGTTGGGCGTTGATTAGCTCAAAGATGGCCTCACCTCCCTGACCCCAAAGAGTCGACCATAAGGCTCCACATCCTACCTAAAGTGCCCGAGTAAAAACGCGGCACAACCAAAGGAGAGGAACACAAAAGAAGCTAAGCATGCGAACCATGGAGAAGCAACTTCTGTTGTTTCAACGCAACTCGACACACTCTACCCGATATCGGAAACCTTAGAAGCCCTTTAAAACGCCCAGACCCTACCAGAACTAGAACGTACAAAACTGATAACGTCCATTCCTGAAACAAACCCGCAGTCCGAGCCCTATCCGGAGCCCCTGAACATCTACCTGCAGCTATAAGCCGCTGCATGCAGAGGCAGTTGATGATAAGGAACAGCCTAAACTCTAAACCCTAAACCCTAATCTCACACTTTGGCCACAGGCTTGCACTTGAAGCTGCATCCTTCAAAGCCTGAACTTTACTAACGAAGCTCAGCAATCCATCACCCTGCGCCCTCGAGCGCGAAGGCGCCAACATTCCGTTTTTTCCTCTAAATCATGAGACCTAAACCTTACAGCCCTCAACCTCTGAACCCTAAAAAAAACTACTAACAAGGCCGATGCAAACACTTAAAACCCCAAGACCGTACTAAGATCCTCTACAATCCCAAAGTCTGTAAAAATCAAAAACCTCTAAAGCCTCCTTCATGGCCGATTCCAAGGCTTCAAAGCGCTGCTCCGTCGCATGGCGCGAATCCTCGAGCCTTCCGATGAGCCAGGCTGGCTGGGGCTTTGGGATTTCGGGCTGTCCACATTTATGATTGTTGTTGAAGTCCCTCTTCTCCCTCTCGTCGTCCTCCTCACTGCTGTCCGGGACGCACTCATGAGGATAGGCTTGTGGTGAATATATTATTATATAAAACCACGCCGTGGCCTAATTCTACACGGGCCATAATAAAAAGGTATCATCACCACACAAGCCCATACCAACCCTTTCATGAAGCAGTCTACCTTACAATCATACAGAGGAGCCCACCCTTCAGCGGTTAGTGTTAACAATGCTCGGGTTTGCATTGGCTTCAGGATTTCTACTTATCGGGTATCGTTGATGGGAAACTAAAAGTTAGCCTTTGTGGTTATGTAGGGATTTTATAAGGATTATCATACCCCTAAAAGATTAGAGGTTGCCTGCTCTACTACAAAGGATTTCAGCTCGGTTAGCAGGTCCCAGAGTTAAGGGTTGGGTTTCGGGTTCAGGGCTGGGTGCCTTAGGTTTGGCTCCCAGACATCCCCAGCTGAAAGCAAGGCTTGCTTTAAGAAAGCCTTGGCAACAACGAGTCTTATTCCTCTCGAAGCTCTATACTCTGGATTACAACCTTGAGGGCTTGTAGTCCATAATGCTGGAGACTGAAACTGTACAGTAAGCTTAAACCCTCCACAAACTAAACCCTGAAAACTAAAGTCCTAAACCCTGAAACTCCGAAGCACTTTAAAAACCTGAATGTAAAAACACATCAAAACCCTGAACCCAAAATACCCTCTAAACTGAACTACAGCCCCAAACCCTGAATCCCTAAACCCCTCAACCCTGAACCCTAAACTTCTAGATCCCTGTAGAGGAACCCCTAGAGATCCCCTTTTAAGGAACCCTTATAGATCCCTTTTAAAGGAACCCTAAGCTCCCCATGGAGGCCTTTTCTTCAACTCGGACTCGGAGGATGCGGGGCTAACGGGGCAAGTCTGCTCAAGTGACCTGGGTGTGGGGATCAGGGATTCAAAGCTCCAAAGCCTAGGGCATAAGATGGTATAACTGAATGTGCAAAATACGAGATACACAATATGTACTATGCAGAGGGTATAACTGATATAGGGCTTTGGGTTTTAGGTATAGGCCTAGGGTTTGCGGGTTGCAGTTTAGTGGACTGGTCTCTTTCGAGGGATATCATCGTACTGATCTCCGTTTCTTTCTCTCTCCGTTTCTCTCTGGCTGTCTCTCTCTCTCTCTCTCTCTCTCTCTGTCTCGCTCACTCTGAGATGACAAATAACCAAACAAATATAGACCGATAGACAGACAGATTTAGATATATAGATCCATAGGTCAGTGAGTTTACATTAAGGGTCGTTAAGGTGTATGGGGTTAGGGGTTGCATTTCCGGAAGCAAGGGTGTAGCGGCTTTAGGGATCAGGCTTCCAGCAGTAGTGGGTTTCGAACTCTCGGGCTTTTTGGAGGGCAAAGCTTACAAATTAAGGTTTGAGTGGCCAGGCTTTAAGATTGGGAGGTCTTGCGGTTTAGGGTCTTTAGGGGTTTAAGGCTTGGGGATATAGGGTCATAGGGGGTGTCCACGGACCGAATTACAAATGGAATCAGGCAGTGGGGTAGTGCACTGTCGAATACAGCTAGTGTCCAGGCTCCTAAAAACAAGTGCGCTTTATACAGACTACTGTGTGCATTCTGGGCCATCCAGTATGCAGCATACCATGGCCAGGTACATTGGACAATTCAAAAAACCAGCTGGCTGCTACTGCTGATTGCATGAACTGGCTAGCTCCTTAACCGTCGTAAAGCTTCCTGGGTTCTTGTTGACGAATCTAATTTCAGCTACTTCAATAGGGATATAATAAGATTTCCTCATTTTCTTATTATGGTAACTCAAACTACGTCCCTTCGCAACAACCCAGTCAAGAAACCATCTTATTTACTACAGATCCCGATGTTGGCAACTCAAATTACAGATCCTTAACAAGAACCAGGCTTCATAAGCATCTGCCGCAGGTCAAGTCTAAGACGCTTGGCCCCTACTGGGAGCTATCTCTCAGCACGAGTAGAATGCAGACGCGGCTCAATTTCTTAAGGTAGGTTTTTTCCCCTCTCGCATGGCTGGCAACTATGTCCACTCGCGAGGACAGTTGGGGACACGGTTCAGGGTTTTAGAGGGCTTGGTGCCTAAGCTTCAAAGAGAACTCAAAGCACTTAGCGCTCAGGGATCTGTTTCAAAGGCTTCAGGTAGGGTTTTTCCTGTTTGTGGTCTGGTGTAGGGGTTCGGGTTCATCTGGGATGTTTATGGAAACCTACAGCTCAAGTGCAAGTGTGGGCTAAGCATCCGGCGACCGAATGTCTCCGATAGATCTGTCCAGCTCAGATTTGACACACCTTGGAATAGAAGGTTTTAGGGGCAAGCATACTGCACCATCACATTACGATGCTACAATGACGCGTTTCTCTGATCCGCTACCGGGCTAGGCTGGGCTCTCAACACCCAAACCGTGATAGAACACCCGACCACCATCTCCAGGAGACCACGCGGAGACCACAAACGACGACCGGGACGGCCACAGGAAGGCCACCATAAGACCACGAGGGCACCAGCAAGCGACCAGCAAAGCCACCCTCCTTCCCTCAAGTACTCAGGGTATTCAGGAGCAGCTCCGAACATGTCTCCCCGAATACTGGGGTTATACTTAGGAGCAGAGGATGGCTAAAACGGGGTTCCCCAAGTCTTGGTGGGATTCAGATTTTTCGGAAAAGGAGGGACCCTTATTGGGGATCCCTACCCTATAATGGGCTATATCATGGGTATATAATAGCAATATTAAGGGTATATACCTAGGGGTCCTTATTAAGGGTCCCTCCTTTTGCCCTTGGAGCATCCAAAGGGGTGGGAAGGTACTATTAACAAGGCTTTGCCGGGTACCTGGCCCGACGGATCCTGCGTGAATTTTTAGGACGTGCACGCAAAAGTGGGAGTTTTCCGAAAACTTAGGGGTACCTTAGGATTCATTTGCTCTATAAGAGTTTATAGTTTCCGAAAATTGGGGCGTCCCGCGGAATAGAGCCCCATAGTGCGTACCACACTACTGTTGGGGAACAACAACGACTCCAAACAGCAGTGAAAACGAACACCGTCTACACAGCGCTGAAAGACCCTAAAAGCCCTCTATAATCCTGTGCCAAGCTGTACAAAATCCATGACACCCAGAACAGATCCTAAACCCTTAACCCTGAAAACCTAAACCCTACACCGTAATGCCTCAACCATATTTTTCAGCCCTGATCCCGAAACCCTAAAACTAGGTATGGGAGTTTCCGAAAACAGGGGACCCTAATACAGTAATTACGCTAAATAGTAGGGGACTTATTATAAGGACCCCTCAAAATAAGGTACCCCTAATGTCGGAAACTCCCGTATTACACCGCCACCCTAAACCGTCTGAGTGGGCGCTGCTCCTGGAGATCTCCCGGCCGTACTCCCGATGTCCTGTGCCAAACACAGGAATGGGCTTAGCATAGTTTGAGGTTTAGGGTTTAGAGTTTAGGGTTAACAGGAATGGGTTTAGGGTTTGTTGTGTTTGGGGTTTAAGGTTTAGAGTTTAGAGTTAAGGCGCTTTTTTCCCCTCTGAAGTACAGTTTGGTGCGAAAAGGACGGAGGCCTGAAGGTGTGGGCCTTTGGGCTGTGGGGCTTCAGGGTTTGAGGCTCAACCATAAACCCTCAAACCCTTTAACCCTAAGCCCGTACACCCTTCGCCCTCCAACCCTGAGTACTTCGCATGGATGGAGTGCTGAAGACCCATAGCCCCGGGTCGTTGATAGGAGCCAGTCGATACTACCGTTGAGTTCACAAGGTTCGCTAAATCAGCTTCGGGCTGTGCAAGACAAAGCCTACACCCCAAACCATAATGCGCTCAACAAATCAAAAGTCGTCGGGTTGCAAGTGCCATGCTCCAGTGGCGGTGATGCTCATGATGATGCAGCGGTGATGCTCATGATGATGTACCCCATGCCGCTTAGGTACTGCTCACGATGAAGGACACTGATGGTGAGTTGTCCTTCTCGCCATGTTACTTTACTTTTGCAGGTGAACCTCTCGTTTCTTTACCCTGGGGCTCCGGAACGTCAGAAATCCCTGGTTCAGGGTTAAGGCGAGGCGTCTTTAGGACCTCCATTTGTGACCTCAAGTTGGAACATCAACTTCCTCACATTACCTTGCTGTCAAAACCCTATGACTGACCTCAGTAAGGGACCGCTTGTTTTCTGAAACTCTTGCATGCCCAGACTTTGCAAAGCCAGGGCGAAAAGGATGCAAGCAAGCAACCAAGGATATCACATGCCGGGGATCCTAAGTTTGAGGGTGTCAAACCATGCAGGGCCAAACGTAATTTGAAGGATCCCTAAACGAAGTACCTTGCATTTTGGGAATCCCCAAAGACAATGAACAGCTCTACACAGAAGTCTTAAATTCTACTTAAGCATCTCTACGAAATGCCAGTGGCGCCTTACTGCTTCCAGCGCCGCACGCAGGGACGTTACGTCCACCTGAGAGAAATGCTGGACACCCTAGAGGGTCCATGTACACTACTATTATGGAATTAGGTCCCGAAAGACCATCCTTATTATGGTTTTGGGAACCTAACTCCATAATAGTAGCGTATATGGACCCTCTGGACACATGCCACCGTTCAAGCCCAGCTTGAGGTGTTTGGCTTGGCGCATGGTGGCCTGGGGGCTGCGGCTAGGGTTTGCGGTCTCGGGCTCAGAGTGATGGATTCCGGGTGAGTTTGTTCAGAATTGGTTCATGACTGTGCTTGTACCTGCGCCCTATACCCTCGCATGCACGACAACAGGCATTCGCAACAAAGCTAGAAAGCCAGCAACTATATGTCGTCCCGCATGTATACACACTCACACAGCCATATAAAGGGCACAAACGCAATAGCCTGCCACGTACCGGTAGACACTCTGGAGACTCGCTGGTACAACTGTCCAAACATAGCTCCAAAGTAACTGTAGTGCTGAATGCACCAGTCCAAACCGCAAACCTTGAACCCTACGCAACGCCCTCCACCCAACAAACTACAAACTAACCCGACGTCCCCTCAATCAGCAGCCCAAACTGCCCTCGCAGGTCTAGCGCACCTGCCGCTGACATCGCTCCTGATTTGATTCCGGTGGTCAGGGCATTCCATCTGGGTGAGGGTGGCAACTGAGTCCTAAACGAATAATAAAGATCCAAAACTAAACCCTGAACCCAAGTCCAGCCTCAACCGCCAACCTAGTCCAAATGGGTACCAGTAGTTGTCAAAATTAGGGTCCCTTTTTGGATCCTTATTATAATACGGCACCAAATATTCAGGGTACCCCAAAAGGGACCCTAATTTTGACAACCACCCAGATGCTGGAGACAAAATTTGAAACGCTCACCCTAAAGCTCTGACCACCGGAACTCAAGTTGAACTTCTTCGGGACGCCTCGAGGTTCAGTTATAGGATCCTTAAGGGAGGGTGGTTCAAGGGGGGAGGGTATAAGGAATCCTTAGGGGACTGTAAGGGAACCTTGGGGAGTACTAGGGAGAATTAGGGATCACTAGGCTATATACCCCCCTTGGACCCCCCTCCCTTAAGGATACTACAATTCAGGAGCCAGCTACGAGAGTTTTGTATACCTACATCAAAAAACTTCCACCCCTGATACTCTTGTGTAGTCGAGGCGTGAACTTCCCAAGTGTGCTGCAGGTGAACTAGGGCCTAACTAGGGTTTGGGGGTGGGGATCAGTGATCAGGGTCTGGAGTTGAAGATAAGGGTTTGGGGTTTATAGCTTTAAAGGGATCCTTAAAGGGTTTCTAGGGTTTAGGTGTTCCTTTAACCGGATCCTTCTAACATCAAAACTCATACACAGCTAGTCATAGCACACCGTCTTGACACCAGAAATCCTAGACCCTCCATCCAATTACCCTCCATCAGACCCTAAATGCCCCTTATTCGGGATCATATACCCCTTTTTGAAGGTACAAGGAGGGTCCTGGATATCATTTCGGGACCCGAACGGTATGGAGTTGAGTCCCCAGGGTCCCTCATCCATAGTATCGGGGCGATTTTTTTTCTAAATGAGGTTCGGGGTGTTTGATTGCTCATGGTTCAGACCCTAAACCCTGATCTCCAAAACACCCAAGCCCTAAGCCCTACAGCCCCCCCATGTTAAACCCTACCCGCTCCTCGATCAGCTGTTGTCTCAGCACGTCGAGCTGCTCAGAGATGCTGACGCCTCCATCCCATCTCGTGTCAAGTTCAAGGGTCTAGGGCTTAGGATTCAGGGTCTAAGTTCAAGGGGCCAGGATGGATGCCCGAGCAGCTGAGTACCATGTAGGAAATATGAGATGACTAAGGTAGGGTTTTATATCTTCTTAGTTGCTGAGTTCACAAGCCCCCCAAAAGTGTACACTTTCAGTTTTATGGTGGGTACTATTATCCCAAAAAGTGTATAAAGTGTATCCACTCAGCTACGATGTCTTCCGTAGTTAGAGGAATCAAGGCTGCAGGCTACCGGCCAGCAACCCGTAAGCTTCAGCCCAAACACCCGACAAAGCCTTTAGGGTTTAGGGTTTAGGGGTTTAGGGTTTAGGGTTTAAAACCCCCTGCGAATGCCCCACTGACCAGGACCCTCCTTGTACCCTCAGATAGGGGTATATGGTCCCAAATAAGGGGCATTTAGGGCCTAATAGAGGGTAGATGGAGGGTCTAGGAAGGAAGCATGTATCTCTGCACTTGCCCCGGTACTCAGAAAACGCATAAACAAATGTTCCCCCGTCGCTGCAGCCCGACCTTCGCGCAGCGGATCCCGACTCGAGCACGAGACCCAGGCCCTAAACCCCAAACCCTGCACGGGTTTGGGTGTAGGGTTTAACGTTTTTGAACCCCAACTCCGTGACATCCTCCAAAGTTGATCGCACCAGAGCTCTAAACCTGCATATCCTCCCGGCCTACCAAGGAGTTCAGATGCTGCGTCAGCCGCTGCTCCGTCTCACATCTCAAGCGCTGCTCTGCTGCGACCTCGGGTCTCGCTTATCTAACCACAGAGGCAGAAAAACAGGCAAACAAATAAGCAAACAAACAAAATTAACATTCAAAGAGGAAGGCCAACATGCAGTTAGACAGACAAGTGCAGAGATGAACATCAGGTTAGCAGGTGAACAGCAAAAACATGCACAGCTTCCCGATTGGACACACAGTACATGTCTGCATGTTTGGTTTCATGCTTTACTATGTTATGTACTAACCAGTATCTAGTCATGTATGGATGCAGGTCGTATGCGCGTGGATGGGCACCAATACAGTATAAGTGGAAGCAACAGTAGTTGCAAAAAGAACCGCTTCACAGGGAGCCTAAAACCCTTGAATTCCTACACGGCCCCAAAGCCTCAAAAACTGGGTTGTAGTTTCGGGGCCCGTAAAAGTATTTATGAATAGGTTCCTGTATAGGAACAAGAGGGGCAAGTAAAAAGTTTCCCAAAGTGCCACCTACTAAACCAAGCACACTTGAGAGCCTAAGCGGGATCCCCCCAACCCCCTTAGCAACCCCAAACCAACCTGCTCCTCCACGCGCGCGATCCTCGCATACAGCCTCAGGGCGCCATGGAGCTTCGGGAGGTTTTGGGTTTTAGGGTGAGGGGTTGAGTTTTTAGGGTTTAGGGTTTAGGGTTTAGGGTTGGGTTTAGGGTGTTTTTTTGAAAAAAGTGCACTAGCCCCTTTCTCCGCAGCACAGAGTCAGAAGCTCGCTCAGGTTCAGGGACTAGGGTTTGAGTTGACTGGCCCTGCGGGGCTTCGTGTTCGGGCTTCAAGGTTTGGGGCTTAGGGTTTCAGAATGCAGGCTTGGAGTCGGTTGATAGGCGTGGGAAAGGCTGAAAAGTCTCTATGAGCTTCAAATTAATGGTTCACGGTCTTCCACAGGAGAGGGCCCAAATCTTTCAACATGAATGAGGTCGGACAGCCCAAAGTTCGGGGTTGAGGACAACTCAATTCCAACCCTAGCCCTAACTGATGCTATAAAGTCGACGATACGCAGTCAGTTACTTGAACCATCAACTCCAAACCCAATGACCCGAATTACATGCTTCCCAGAAGTTGAACACTTTGAGTTCCCCCTCTCCCCAACACAACAAAAAACGAGGCGACAAAAACCCTTCAGTAAACCCCACTGTGGAGAACTACCCTCTGGGCCACTGGGTGCAGTCAAGTGGCAAGTCAGCGCCTGCCACCGGCATGTGTGGTGAAGGAGGTGCTACAGCGCCTGAGTTATTGGGATTTTCGTGTTTTGAGCTTAGGATTTACGGTATGGGTTGAAATATCAGCACACGGAAACACCACAAACGGTTGTTCGTTTGCGTGAGGACATCAAGACAAAAACCCACCTTGGAGTCAATCCGAATCTATAAAGGGTTTAGGGTTAAGGGGTTTATATAGGGGCTTTGGGGGTTTAGGGCTTCGGGTCTGTATGGTGAATCCACCACAGGCCCAACCAATTCCTTCTTAAATCCTCCAATCCCAAACCCTTGAACCTAACAGCTTAAAGGCACACGACTACAGCCAACCTTCTGAACCCTCATGTCCCTAACCTGTTTTCTAGCCCTGCAATCACCAAACCTCTAAACATAAAACACACGAAAACCTTTCTATCAAGCCAATCCTTCGAAACTCAATCAACCGTCCTAACTCGAAACAAAATCTTCAATTGCCCTGCCGCCCGGATACCTACAACTGGTACACACCGCGAACCCCTTCTACGCCTAAACATCAAAACCCTAAACCCTATGATACTCGAATATTAAATCAACCTTAACACCCTATAAGACCTTTTTAGCAGCAGGCCTCGTTGTCCAGAAGCCCGGTTACAGCAAGAGCCCCCCTTTCCCCCGCTTCTTGCAAGCAAGGAAAGTATCAAACCACAGGCCGCTTTCGAAGTAACTGGCCTGGCACCATATCGGGCGTGGAACTGCGCAAGGCCGATCCACTCCTTGCCATATCCAGAGTTTAGTACTGTACTTCATGTGTTGTACATAACACGTGTATAAAACTATACAGATGTAACAGATGTAAATACCTGTGTGTGTGTATATATATATATATGTATGTATATGCGTGTGTGTAGGTGCATATTATAGCTGTATAAGGTTCTTGTGAGCCTTGAGCGCTGTATGATGACTCACAAACATATACTACATGATTTACACACACGCACACAGACACAACTGTCTGTGTATACATCAAGACGGGAAGACAAGTGGCCGCACCTTAGGTGTTGAGGTTGTCAAACGAATGTTCAACTGTTCATCAGCATCATCATCATCGTCATCACCATCATAATAGTAATGATACTAGCCGCTGCGGATAACATGAAACAGGTACTATATCACTAATCAATGAACCAATAATGAGAATAATGACCACAATACTAGTTTACAACAACTGTTTCGTGCTACGGTCTGAGAGTGTTTGCTTGGAATGTGGTTCCAGGTTCGGCGCTGCAGCCAACCAGATGTCATAACAGATCTGATTCTGAAACCAACCTCAAAACTAAGTAACGGCTGCCATGTGAACCATCAAGCCTCGCGTCTGTGACAACTGTAACTTTAGGGTCTCAGACCTTGGTGCCAACCTTTCGTGAACAAATTTTGACAGCTTGGGTCCAACACCCGGATAAGATTGCTTTACACCTCATCCCTGACATCTGCGACTTGGAACATCAGATGTGTCCCCATGCATACCTCGAAACCCCCTCCGAGGCTCAGCGAGAATGCCCACAAATTATTGACAAGGGAACGCATCCTAAGTCTGTAACCCTGGATCCCAAAAGACCTGTGGCACTCCTGACTACCTTTCAGTCTTGGAAACATTGCCAGTGCCAAACCGAGCATCTTTAGGGCATTACCCACGGCGTTGCTCGTCAAGAGGCTGGGTGGGCTGTTCCTGGCATCAAAACTCGTGTAAGAATCACAGCGGTTTAGGGCCTGTGGTTTAGGGACCCTCGTGTACTCGGGGTAGCGCTTCATACTCGGAGTAGCGCTTTGCACTCTTGTATCTGAAAACTTGTGGGGATCAGCTCATATTGTGCAAAGACACGCGCTTCACGTACTAGGTCAACCACGACACGGCTTTGATAGTGATGGAAAACAAACGCTGGTATTAGCAGTGATAGTCACTGATAGTACTACTAGTAGTAAAGTAGTACCGGTGCTGGCAGCCACCTTTGACGATGAAGATTCTCATGTTGCTGATGATGATCATGAGAATGGTGGGAGGTCAGCCAAGGGCTTCGAACTTCAGGTTTAGGGGTAAAATGTTCGATCCTGCATGTGCATGGGAGGCAACCTTAATCCAGAACGACGAAGGCTTGCGGCCTTGTTGCTGTGGTTGTAAGGGCATGTTGCATTCCGCTGCTGGGCAATGGACGTATCATGTAGACAAGGTTTGCAACATGCCTGTTCATAGGAGCTTTCTACGACTACTACGACGGTACTGCGAGTGCTTTAAAATGGAAGGACCATTCCGGAACAGTACTTCAAGTGCTCATTAAGAGTAGCAGAAACGAACACATGTAGAAAATGGTAGAAGCCATGCCAGTGAAAAACACAGCGGCACAAATACAAATACAACAGAAGGCATGAGTTTGTGACAAAGCTTTGCCAAATAAGCCCAACACCCTCTGAACCTTCAATCCCAAGCCTAAAACCTAAACTCTCAACTGCAAATATCTCCAAACGAGCCAAACTTATAATATACCCAAACGCCCCAAACTGTTAAGCACTACACCCGCCCCAAAAACAAACAAGCCTAAACCTTCCCAAACCCCTTTTGACCATCCTCAAACCCCCTGAAACCCACTACGAGTACCAAAACAACACCGAACCCTCAACCCCAAGAGCTCCGAAAATCCCCGTTAACTAAACCCTACATGAGGCCCCCGGCTTCGGTGTCGGTATCCGCGCACTTTTCCAGACGTCTTCGCTAGAGCTCCGGCTCAAAGTTTTGGAGCTCTGCCTGGGCTTTGTGGGGTCCTCTTAAGGGTCCTTTAAGGGTCCCATTTAAGGGTACAACATTGGGGTTTTGGGTTTCGGCAGTCACATTCGGTTTAGGGCTTCGACAAGCCGGGAGAACCTTGATCTTACGCAAGTTGAGGCAAAGTATATGGGAGTTTCCGAAAACAGAGGACCCTAATAGAGTGCCCTAAATAGTAGGATCCTTATTATATTAATGTCCCCAAAAGAAGGTACCCCTGGTTTTCGGAAACTCCATATCCAGTCTTGCCTGAAAACCTCCGAGATCCTTGGTGCCTGCTCCAAAATGTCTTGAGCCGCCCAAGCCCAAAACCACGAACCCCAAACCTACAAGACCCTACGTCCTAAACCTAAAGCAGTTAAAGCCGCAAGCCCTTGAAGCGGTTATTATTTAATCACGAAGAGTGTGCAGTTGGTAAAATGTACTCCGTTATCGTCCCTGTATACACGTAAAACTACAGCATGACACGAAAACAAATGTTTCGAGGCTGTTTAGAACCCTTGGAGGGAGCCCGCTCTACTCAGCACGGCCCTTGAAGTTCAAGCCGGTGACCTCTCTGCCTCGATGGCTTCAACGACCCGATCGCCCAGGCAATTCATGAAGCTCCTCAGAGCTTGTAGGGGTTGGCGTTGGGGTTTGGGGTGTATTGGGTTGGGGTTCAAGCGTGAGGGTTTCGTTTGTTTGTGATGTTGCCAGAAGGGATGAGGAAGGGTTGAAACTTTTGGTTCGGTAGGACTGTGGAGTTGCTTTAGTTTGCGTGCTCCAAGGCGGCTCCTACTCTGTGGCTGAATGGGGTCTCGAAACTCGGGATTTCAACCCTGCTGCTGTTGGTGGCCTGCTGGCACCAGGAAGAATAGTCACTGGAGACAGTGGGCCGTTGATCAAAGATACTCTGACTGTACTTACTTAAAGACGATTACAACATGAGTGAAGGTTGCAAGTATATATGTTGGGTGACCAGAGACGAAAGACAAAACCCTGACATAAGGGAATGAAACTACACAGCAAGGATCCTTCTTAAGTCTTGAAAGAGACCTCACAGAATCAAGCACGATTCTCCTGAAAGCCGGAACAACAAACTTCCAAATATGATCCTATCAACACTGATTAGATTCAAACCTGAAAACTTAAGAACCCGTAATTACCCGAAAATCTACAGCCATGTGGGCGTTTCCGAAAACAGGGAACCCTGATATAGCACCCCTAAATAGTAGGATCCTTATTGTAAGGACCCCCCAAAATAAGGTACCCCCTAATTTTCGGAAGCTCCCAAACCCTAAACCCTATAGATCCCTTATAGGAACCCTTAAAGGAACCACTATAGATCCCTTATAGGAACCCTTAAAGGAACCACTATAGATCCCTTTAAAGGTACCACTATAGATCCCTTTAAAGGAACCACTATAGATCCCTTTAAAGGTACCCCCCCCTATGGTCGACTCCGGGCGGCTTCAAAGTCACGAGGCCGGTCTTGGACACGTCGATGGAGCGGAACATTGCTCCCGCGTCCTGCCCGCCCGCGGGGGGGGGGGGGCTGAAATTGGGGGTTTGGGGTTTAGGGTTTAGGGTTTAGGAGGGTTTGGGGGGTTTAAGGAAACCCTAAACCCCCAAAACCCCTAAAACCACTAACGAGGGCTTTGGGGGTTGAGGTTTGGCCGGAGGGTTTCCGCCGGGAGTTGCAAGCTCTCTTCCTAACTCAGATTCTTCCTGTACTCTCCATTGTAGTTCCTGTTTGGGGTTACCTTATAGGTAAGATCCCAATCATCTATTTGGTTAAACCAAAAAAGGAACTACAATGGAGACTATACGTATTTTGTATTTTACAAAACCGCCGCTTTTTTGTCCAAACATCCCAGCACGAGACCGAAATCCTGAACTTTGGTCCGGCTAGGTTCAGGGTTTAGGGGTTTAGGGGTTAGGGGTTTAAGGTTAAGGGGTTAAGGGCTGGGCTAGTGCTCAGGGTTTAGGGGTTTAGAGGTTAGGGGTTTAGGGTTTAGGGGTTTAGGGTTGAATATCGAAACCTGGGTAATATGAGCCGCAGGAGTAACTCCAATGTCTGAAGTCTTGACTGCAGGGTTTCGTGGATTACAGACTCCTTAAAAAATCCAACAGCTTAAATGCTCGAAAAACACATCACCTTGACCTTCGAATAATTCGCGGATACATGTTTCACGGAGGGACTTCCAGTTCTATGGATGCCGTAAGCAAGCGCCCTTCAGATTGGGCGATGTCATACATGCAGATTCGGGCATACTGAAGCATAACCTTCTCAAGCCCTCAACAAACACAATCATATATATATATATATATATATTTGTATACATACTGTATATGTATATAGACACTACACACATGCTGATCTACATTGGCCCTGAAAACCCAGTGAACGAACCATCGTGAGTAGGAAGCTCAAACAGCTAATGAAATAACTAACATGTAACCAAGTGGGAGTTTCCGAAAATACGGGACCCTAATATAGTAGCCTAAATCTGAGGATCCTTATTATGAGGGCGGAAACACCCATGGAACCAGTAAACTCACCTGGCAACCCTAAACGCCTAAACCCGTAAACCCCTAACCCCTAAACCCCTAAACCCTAAAACCCTAAAACCTGTAAGCCCTAAAACCCTAACCCTAAACCCCTAAAGCCTAAAACCCTAAACCCTAAACCCCTAAACCCTAAACCCCTAAACCCTAAACCCCTAAACCCTAAAACCCTAAACCCTAAATCCCTAAACCCCAAACCCCTAAACCCCTAAACCCCTAAACCCTAAACCCCTAAACCCTAAAACCCTAAACCCTAGTCGGGTCACAACTTCCGCGACAACAAAAGCAGCTCTGCAGTCGTCAAGCCTCCGTGTAGCCCAGTCGCTCCAGGCCCTGCGACACCAAAGGGTCCGCACGGTCCGTTAGGGTTTAGGGTTTAGGGTCAAAATTATGGTCCTTTTTTGGGGTACCCTAAATACTAGGTGCCGAGATTAAAATAAGGACCCAAAAAGGGATCCTAATATTGACAACCATCCATATAGACCCATATGGGAGTTACCGAAGATTAGGGGGTAGGTTATTTTGGTGTCCTTATAATAAGGATCATACCTTTCTAGGGTCCGATATTAAGGCCCCTTATTGTTCGGAAACTCCCATATAGTATACCATGAAACTTTGACGCAATACAAAACAAGAGCACCAAACTTGTGTAAACCCCGAACCTCGACTTCTCTAAGCCCTAAGTCTCGGTGACCCCTAAATCCAAGGCATCCCAGGGCTTTCCCAACCCGTGGGTCTCAGCGGGCTCTGAGCTTCCAGTTGCCGGAGTTTGCTACGGCGGCCAGAGAAATGAGAAATCTTAACACGGCAGCAAAACAAATAACACATCAAGAAGTAACAAGCAAACACCCGATCTGACTTTGAACAGCTCCAGAATTACATACAAAATGGGTTCCGCTTTAAGACTTGGGAGATGCGAGTAGGTGGGCGCTACAGTTTGTTCACATTGATTCGGACGTACAGTGTCTGCGATGTTCGGCAAACCAAACTCACAGGCCGTACAAGTTCTCGGGTCTTTGATTGCAATATTTAATTAGTAGCTTCAAACCGGACCTAGGCCAGCTCATATTTAAGGTTTGCACCGTAAAACCCTAAACCCTATCATGCAACGCATGGACGGTCATGGACTTTGCAGCTTCTGAGACGACTTGGGAAATTTTGATACCGAATCAAGTCTCAGAATGAACTACCGAAAATAGGGGTATACGGTATACGATAGAAGGCCTTCATGCCTTCATAATTAGAATCGGGTTTTGAGGATATATGATACTACACTTTCATGACGGGCCTATTTGGGGATACGACTACTGCTAATTTCGTCCGCTTTGTTATACATATAATTGTCGCAGCATTCTGGGGTATGTCGTGGTGAAATGTTACAGGGTCAGAAAGGTACATTTGCTGGCTTTTTGTGGAACCCGGTTCTGGAAGAGCCCCTACAAAGACTCCCACCGCGGATCCTCATCCAAAGCAATGATACTGTAGAGATTCATTAAATATGGTTTTGAGGTTAAGACTTAACCTCACCCCGTACACCGCATCACGGCCTTCACGAAATCGTCGCTTGTAAGCTGCCCGACGTCGTGGCTGTCAAGTTCGTTGAAGGCAGCCTGGCAGTTACTGGTACCGCAAACAAGAGGGCAAAGGGACGGACCCTTAATGGAGCTCACTACCCCATAACGGGCCCTATATATATATATATATATATATATACATATATATATATTACATGGGCATATAATGGCCATATTAAGGTTATATACCTAGGGGTCCTTATTAAGGATCCCTACTTTGGCCCTTACAGCAAACAGTCAAGCACGGAGAGCAGAAGAGCATCAAGTCTTCGCATTTCGCGGATTCGTCAACCCTAAACCCTAAACCGAACACACTTCATCTAAACCCAAAACAGCCATGTTACGTTCACACGAACCTCCGAACTGCAGGTGCAACTACCTGGACCTGAATACGGCATCAGCGTTCTCATCATGTCCCGGAATGTGCAAGTGATGGTCCGGCACCAATATTCCCGAAACCCGAGAAACCTCAAGTCCTGAAGCCCTAGTATATAAAAACCCAAAACCGAAACAATAACTCAAGACGCTACCCGTCTAGCGCTCGTTCTCGGAACTTTATACTTAAAGTCGTCCCTAAACCACAACCCTGAACCTATAACCCTATGACCCCCCCCAATTCATCTTAAACCCTATAAACCCTATAACCCCCCCCAACTCATAAAAAATCCAGTGCCTTGAGACTCCCGCAGCGGCCTGGGTGCAAATCGCTGCGAAGGCTTAGATTAGGTTGAGGTTTAGGAGTCAAGGTTTGGGGTTTAGACTGCTTGAGGGTTTAGGTTTTGAATTTGGGCAGTCTGCTCTCGCGTCCGAAACCCCGAAATCCGAGGGAGACGGCGTAGGGTTTTAGAGTTTTACGGGTTTAGGCTTTTAGGGTTTAGAGTTCATTGGCCATGGTGCTTTCCCTCTACACAAGGGCAGGGGCTGACGAGGGATCTTCGAGATTTACAAAGGTTCGGTAGGGACTTTATCCTCAAAGGTTAGCGTCTTTAGAGGTATAAAGTTTAGGGTTTTAGGGAATGGCTAAGAGTTCAAATGGTTGCTGTTGTCCAAATCCACGCATGCTTGTGGCGCGTAACGCATCGGCAGAATATACGGCGTGGACAGTTTGAATTAGTCGAGCCATGATGCTGTCGCGGTTTGTGCATCAGAATCACAACGACTCATTTCCTGACAGCCCCTTAGCCAACCCGAATCAACAACATGTAAAAACTAAACGACCATCAGTAGCTCCATGGCTAAAGAAGTGTACAAACCTACAGCGTCATCAACACAACAATACATGGGTGGCTGTCAAAATTAGGGTCCCTTTTTGGGTCCTTATTATAATACGGCACCTAATATTTAGGATACCCAAAAAGGAGGGACCATAATTTTGACAACCACCCACAAAGCAATACCGGATGAGAATCCTTCCGGCTGCTCAAAGCAGAACTCGTTGCAGTAGCAGCGGCTTCCTGCACCTACAAACCATACGCATAAACCCTACCCTAAGGCCCAAAAGTAGTTCCTTTTGGAGGTTCATATGTAGAATCCTATTAGGTAATCCCAAAAAGGAACTACTTTGGGGCCTATGGGTAAACCCTAAACCCCGAACCCTATACCCAATCACCACCAAGTTCACAAACAGGCCCTAAACCCTTTGGCCAAAAGCCCGAAACCCTGCTCGCCAAGCAAAAATAACACAGGGGTCTTGGTGATTGCCTCTATTTTGGGGGCTTCTGATTGTAATTATGGTATAATTAATATGCCTCGAAACCCTATTCTACTTGCTAAGGCCCCGGTATTCAGCCCTGCAGAAACGACAGCTGGGCTCCCTTGCTGCGCAAGAACGCGTGCAAGCCGGCCATCTCGTTCCCGCCGAGCATCGGGTCTGCGCAAGAAAGGCTTCCGCTGGGGAGTAAGGGGCTTATAAGGTTTATAGCACTTCATATCGATCGAGTACAGGGTTCAGGTCATGCGGTTTGGAAGGTTGTGTGGTTCGGGGTGTAGGTTCACAAGGTTCAGCGTCGGCTTGCAGTTAGGGCTTTGGGGTTGATGGTTGAGGCTATCCTGGATTCTCCACTGAATTTCTGACTCCTTTTGAAAGGCATAGTCTACATAGTCTCGAAGTCCTCGCCAAGCGGGATGACTTGCTACTAAGTCCGCAATTTGCGAGTCCAGAAAGCGCTGCTCAAATTAAACATGCTGCGCTATCTCGCAAGCTAGTGCGAAGGCCGCTAAAAATGCCATGTGCCCCCCAAGCCCTAACCCAAGAAAATCAACACCTCATTAATCCTTACAAGCGCCTCGGAGCCAACTCAAAAGCAGTGTTTTCATGTAAATTAAATCCAGTCCGTGGGGACATACATAAACAAAACTTGGAACACTTTCCTTGGAGGAAAACTTCTAGCAACCTCATAGAACTCTTCTGGGTTTCGGGTTTAAGAAACCCTACACCCTATACCCAAAACCTTCAAACATAGACCCGAATCCTCGAACTCACCCCCTTAACCCTAAACCTTAAAACCCTAAGCCCAAACTAAGCCCTCGAACTCATACCCTTAACCCTAAACCTTAAAACCCGACGCCCAAACAAAGCCCCTACCGCCGCCCCACGCCTCGGCGGATCGACGTGGCCCCTGGCTGGCTCTGCACCTGTAAGCCCTGCATCTGCCGCCAGTTTGGGCCTGACTGAGGAGCTCTTGGGGTTCTTTTCGGTTAAGGGTTTGAATTTAGGGCTCACCCTGACAATCCAAGTACTCAATATCATAGGACATTTGGGCCTTTTTGGATACCAAAAACCATAAACAAGGACTAAGGTTGGACCCTTAGGGTCAAGGCTTCCTTCAGGGTTATAAAGGTTCGTTTTCAGGGTTCCTCTAAGGATTCCTATGATAAGAATTCCCACGAACGCTTCGGACTTTGGAGTGGGCGTTTAAGGACAGCTACGAAACAACATGTTGCTACCACCATCCACAAAACGTCAACAATAGCCTGCAGTTGCTGACGCGGCCAGGAGTTGCACAAGCCAGCCTACCTAATTTGAGCCGGAAACTGCCAAGGATATCCACATCTCACGTCGGTGCCCAACAATGGGCCAAAGCAAATCAGCCACATGACCACAATGCTGCAAGCATTGATGCCGAAAACCGTGCAGTGACACCGGCCGCTGAAGGCAATTATTGGGCCGTCCCGCCCCCCCCCCCCCCACCTTAAAAACTGTCTTTTTCGCCTGCCTGCCGAGCAGCTGTTCCACCGGCCCCACTGTGACATGCTTAGCAAGGATACAGTGGGATTTCGTTCCGTCAGCTCGCTTTTGGCAAACATGGTAACTGCAAATCTGCACGATCTGCACATACTCACTTGATACTGTTGTTGATAAAAAATACAACTTGGGCGCCCTTCAGCCGGATGCTTTCCACCTAGGTCGAAGCACTGCCGCACTTCGGATCAGCATGGGACCACAATGCATCACAGTGCAATGGCATGCACTGGGGAGCGTGCGACGTCAGGTTGCCTGCTGCAGGATGGAAACGGCTCTAACATCTGATCTTCAAAAGCTACGCTGGTTCCCGGGCAAGGCAGTCGACTGTAGCCGCCTACTCCCTGATCCGCACCCGTGCCCGGTCGGCTTGTCGGAGGGGTCGCCTTCTCGCGAATGCGGTTTTTGCCGCTTCAGGGTTTAGGTTGGGGGTTTGGGGCGTGAAACTGTCGAAGTTTGCGGACACATGTGGCTTCAGGCTGCAGAATGCATCATTGCTCGGAGCCTGTGGTTTTGATACTCAACTCTTCGGGACCGACTTTAAGCTACACAATCGGCGGCTGCTACAGTTCTTTGTTTGACAGGTTACTCACTTTCATGCTACCTGAACTGAAGGCTTGAGGTTCCACAGTAAATTGCGAGGAAACCAGTGCCAGGTCGGATTGGACCGTGAATGATGTCAATGTGTTCCTATCCCACCCCTTAACTCAAAACCTAAACCCTGCCCCAGACCCTAAATCCTAAACTCTGAACCCCGAGCCCGAAACTTTGGCACTAACCCCCGAATCAGGGTTCTGAGCCCAACTCACAGCGATCCCATCCTTGCGTCCGCGACTCCTACCTACAAATGCTCATGTAGATGTAAAGCGACATTATATTTATGGCTCAGGGCTGAAGACCCTTAATATAAAGTTAAGATCACGTGCCATCGGTTACGGTGAATGATGACGAGCTCGTGATGAAAAACAATCTGCACAGGAAAGCCTGAATTCCGGAAGAGCCCCCAGAAACAGTTGCGGGTTCCCAAACTAGGATCCATTTTTAAGGTCCTTTCGGTGCCGTACTATTTCTATGGGACCGAGAAAGGTACCCCAATTTAGAGAACTACCCATATCCTATAGCCCAAGTAAGACACTCTCTTCTGCAATAATCGGCCCGCCAAACGCATCAAATTGTCCAAACGAGACTAAATAACACCAAATATATCGGGCCAAAAAGCTTTATTCCCCTTGGCTGTCTAAGAACACTCTTTCCAAACACCTGGCGGCCCAGGTGTTAAAACCCTTAGACATCCCCCAACCCCAAAGGCGTCCTCGTACCCTCGGAAGTCATGCAACAACTTTCACTATGGTTTACGGCTTAGGTTCCTCAAGTGCGCCCTGCTGCTGAAGCCGTGGTTTCGGATGAGTGTGGCGCACGGGAAGCATCAGGGTCATGGCAGGTACGGGGGAACGCTGACTGTATCTGGCCTACAATACACTCCCAACCCCCTGCTGCCTATATGCACATCGACACCCATGGAAACAGCCCACACTGAGCCTTATACTACACGGATCCCTGCAGACCTAAACAAGGATCCAGCGTTTAGGAACCCACTAATGCAGGGCTTCACCTAGAGGCTCATACCCAACCCCTTTTTTAGGATACCTAGTTTTATGGTTAGGATCTGTTATCTTAAAAGGTAGGCGCCCTAAAAAAGGAGTAGGGTATGAGCCTCTAAGTAAAGTCTAAAACTGATTCAACCCTGGCCCTGGTCTCTAAACCCCCTATAAGCCCTATGCCCTTAACTGAGGGTTCCTAAGTTTCGGAACCCCTTTATCACAATCCTAAACCCTCAATATACACGTGGTGGCGCTTTCATGCGGACGATTTTGGACAGGTGTCCTCTGCCTATCCTTCTGCATCTTCTGCATGGCTGGGTGCTCCGATCGGTCCCGATAGTTAGTGACTTTGGGGCCCCACCAGTTACAGGGACCACCCTTCGAGACCGGACCTGCGCTTCCTGTCGTCGTATGCGCTTCGGTGCATTTTTCCGAAACCGGTTGTCGTCAAGTCTGAAGCAAGGTAGGTGGTCGCTTCTCTTGCACATGAGCGTCCAGTTGTTACTGATGGATGCTAGGTTCTTACACGATAACTGGTTCTTTCTGCTCTCTCCGCATGACCCTGAGAAACGAAGGGTCCCGAAGTTTAGGACCCCCCCCCAAGTCTGGGGATCCCTGCCACCTTTGGTGGCTCCTCCGGGGCTGCCTTCCGACCCTGCAAGAAAACGGTTAGGGCCAGCGGCCCGATTAGTGCTTGAGGTTTTGGGTGCAGGTTTTGGGGATCTACCTGTATCCCCAAACCCCACAAAATAGTAGGTCATGACCCCTTTAACTGGAGGGCATAATCCTTAAAACGGTAGGTTTTTGGATCCCCAGGTGGGGCTTAAAATGCTGGCGTTGAAATGGCTCAGGCTTGACAGGGACTCGGGATGGAGGAGCCGGGCCCTTCGATCTTCCTTATCTGATGGCTCTCCGGGCTTGGTAGTCGTCCCAGCAGGCGTTCTTTCGTTGTTCGTGTCGCTGTTGAGTGTCTATCAACGAAGTAGTAAGACGAGCCTGAAGAGGTGATACCATCTCGGCCTGAAGCTCCACAGCAACTCTGTGTCCTGAACCTCACACCTCTTGCGTACAACTCATCAGCAAATCAACTGCAACGAAGCCCTGAACCCATATAGAACCCATGTAGTCGACCTGTGAAACCCTTGTAGAAACCTTATGAAACCCAGAAGCCCTCCAACCGCCGGCCGCGGCGATCGTCGGCAACTTGACCCAGTCTCCTGCAAGCCTGGGCGTACATAATAGGTCCCGGGCACTCTGACTTGGAGATGGGGAGAGGTGTGGTCAGGGTTTTGGGGCTTAGTTGGGGTGTACCTAAACCCTAATGTAGGGGCCTTATAATTAGAGAATGGTTTTGGGGCTCAATATGATAGGTATAAATGAGGAAACATAAACCCTAGATCCTTTAGGCTTTGGGATTTGGGGGTAAAGAGTTTATGCCGGCCTCGAGTCAGGGCTGGAGACTTTCAAATTGTGTCACCGCCACGCCTGGAAGATATTCCCAATAATAAGCTCTAAGGCTCCATGTGCGCTCTAAGGCTCCATGTGCCCATATAGTAGGTACTTAGGCTTTAAAGTACCTATATGGGGACCCCTTTAGGGCCTAAGTTCCGACTATATGGGTACATGGAGCCTTTGGGAAGAGGGGTCTCGGGTTGCAGCGGGGTGCGGGGAGTTTGGGATCGTGCGTCTCGGCCAGGGTCGGGGATTAAAACCAGAGATTTGCGACTCATTAAAAACGGGAGCCAGTCGTGCTACGACTTTGATACAGTGCCTTGCAAGCAGCTTTTTTGCTGTTGGTTGAAGGGTTTTTGCCTCCTACTGAGCAAGGACGAACCCGCGTTGTAGGGCAACTCCGAGGGAACAGTGGAAGGGTTCGTTAGGAAATTAGTATAACGGTACCTTAAGCCGCCAACCCTACTTTTTCGCATGGTCCCTGCAAATCCCATATTAGGGCGTATAATAAGAGCCTACACAAAAAGTAGGTTCTGGTTGTTTAAAGTTAAAAAAAAGGTGGATCTCGGCGCTTCGAAGAGTTCCGGGCTTTTGAGTCCATGGTTTACGGGTTTGCAATCTGGGAGTTTCCGAACATAAGATGCACCATATTTTTGGGGGATCCTTATAATAAGGATCCGACTATTTAGGGTATAGTATATTTAGGGTCCCCTATTTTCGGAAACTCCCGTCTCGGATTGAGGGCTAAGAGCTTCGGAGCGCGCCTTGCAAGGCTTTCCTTGGCGGGGTTCTGCTTATCCCGGTTTACCTATAGTCTTCATTGTAGTTCCTTTTTGGGGCTACTTTTTAGGATCCCTAAAATAGAATTGGTTAAACCAAAAAAGGAACTACAATGGAGACTATAGGTATTTCCCGGTCTAAAGTGTTTCTGATCGGTATAGATGGTGAGGAAGCGTGTCGCAAATAATGGCAGCCGCAATCTAAGCTTCTGACTGCTCCTTCCTGAGAACGTGGACGCCTGTCACGAACATCTTGTTTCTTAGAGCTCTCTGTTGAGCAGCGGACGTTAGACAGGAGTGACACTAAAGATGTAAAAGTCGTGCACGAATGCCTCGCCGGAACACCATGGAATCAACTATGAAATCTTGAAGAAGCTGCACAAACTTGGGCACATACCAAATCCTCAAGAAGAACGGTCCGACCAGGCCTCCTTCTTTCTGAGGCCTCAGGGACTGGCGGTGGTGGTAGTGGTAGCAGTGGCAGTGTAGTGGCACTAGTTGCCTTCGCCGTCGTCGACGACGACAGTGCGGGAGCAGGGTAGTAGTAGTAGTAGTAGTAGTAGTAGTAGTAGTAGTAGTAGTAGTAGTAGTAGTAGTAGTAGTAGTAGTGGTGGTGGTGGTAGTGGTAGTGGTAGTGGTAGTGGTAGTGAATAGTAGCAGTGGTAGTACTAGCAGCAGCAGTAGCAGCGGCAACAGCAGCGACAGGAGCAGAAGCAGGAGCAGTGGCAGTAGCAGGAGTAGTACTTTGGCATAGTATGGCAGTCGCATGGTAGTATTGGCTTGGGGTCGTAGCAGCCGGAGTAAAAGTAGGAAGTATTGCAGCAGCGGCTGCAGCAAAAGCAGGAGCAGGAGCAGGGCAGTAGCAGGTGTAGCCACTTGGCATACTATGGCAGTAGTATGGTAGTATATGGCTTGGAGTCGTAGCAGCCGAAGTAAGAGTAGGAAGTAGCAGCAGCAGCGGCAATTAAAGGCTGACAGCGCTGGTGCAAACATTTCTGAGTCGGCGCAGGTCACGATCCTAGTCCTAAGCTAGAGCATGGCCGGTCACCCGAATTCCGGGTTCTGGGGTCTCGCCGGTTTAGGAGTTCAGCAGTACTCGCTGCTCCATGTGCAGGGTAGCCCATATCTGGACTTACCAAGATCATTGCGAAGGCAATTCTTGCCAGATTCTATGCCCAAGCTAGCTCTGCTGGAGCTTGGGCTTTCGGGGACCAGAGACTCCAACTTCGTTTACTTAGGGTTTAGGGTTTACCGTGCTGTCTTACCGCAGAACCCTTCATTGAGGGATAGTGGAGCCTCTGGGCACCGTGCTGAGTGCTGAACGCAGCACAGAGAACAAACACTTGAGACGCCTACCCACAGAGGGATAGCTCCCACCGAGGCCGAATGATCGATGATACTTGTAATACGGATCCGGGTATTGGTCTTAGTTCTTCGTGGCGTTTCTGGGTCACCATGTACTTAGTGTGGGAGCCCTCAGCCCTCTCCGAACTCTACCCTTTTTGAGTTGCTTTGGTTATCTGTCTGGTCATGTTTGGGCATGGAATAGCTTGTGCAGTACTGCATCACCCTGGACCTTGTTGAACACACCTCCTTGTCCAGCAGCCCGGAAAAGCCATACACATTCCATCACCCTAGACCTACATCGGACTCGGCCGATCGAGACTCGGCCTTTAGGAAGGATGTTTGTGAGTGTGCGCGTGCGCCGTGGGGTCTATCTAAATTGGAGCAAAAGCTTAGGCTTGCTCTGAGCTCTGCCCTAGAGCTAAGTGCTTAGGATTGTTGATCTGGGTCAGAGGTGCGACAGAATAACGTCTTTATTTTGAACGAACCTTTTTCCAAAGAATAGTGTTTATTCTCCAAGGCTTTAAGGTTTAGTTCTAGGTAATCGCAAGCAAATGGTGTCGGCAATTCAAGTGGAGGCTCCCTTTGCGAAGGCATCATCGAGAGGTGGCCTGAACTCCCGGGGCCACCAGTTCCTCAGACCATCCAGAGACTCCAATATCCTTTAGTTAAGGAATATACCGTAAATTATAGTAGGATCCCTAAATATGATTTAAGGAATATTCCTGAAGTGAGGGGTATTGGAGTCTCTGACCATGAGCTTTTGGAGTGGAGTTCGGGTTCACAACTTTCGGCTCTATGGTCGAGGAATGGGGGTTACAAACGGTTTTCAAAGTGGGGATCAAAACTATAAGCCTGCAACGCAGTGCAAACCTCGCAAAACACAGATGGATGAATAGGTAGATGGAGATAGATAGAAAAGAAGGTACAACAATACCGCCCTGAACCCTAAACCCGTTATACTAACGTGTCATACTCCCCAGCCGGGACTCAGCTCTCCCATCGCAGCGGTGAGAGCCGGGGTGACCACTGTGCGAACTACGAAAGTGTCCTCAGCTTGGCATGCCAAAGTAATGTTTCTGGGATTCGGGATGTATGAGGCTTCGTCTTTGATGTGCTTATGGTATAGGATTGAAAGGTTAGGGCTTAGAAGGGAATATTCCTCAAACCATATTCGGAATCCTACTCTAAGTTTAAGGTATATACTCCCTAATTAAGGGATATTGGAGTCTCTGGGCGCAGGGCTTCAACCAGGACACCACCTTCGTAGACCCCCTCATGGCTGCGTCTTGAGGGTAATATAGCGGCTATGCGGGAGGACACCTTGCCTGTCCGATAATGCTTGGCCAGAAGTTGAAAACATAAATAACTAAACACAAAAATCAACACATACACACACACACTCTCTCTCTCTCTCACATATGTATGTATGTATATATATATATATATATATATATATATATATATCCTTGGGCTCTATTGGAGATTACGTAGAGCACACCCAAATCCAGGAAGAGCGAACAAATCCTGCAAGCCGGCAGTCCAGGAGGACAGCCATGACGAAGATCCAGGATGCCTGCCGCATGGAGGGCACCTGGCTCGAGGGTAGGGGGTAGGGTTTTGGGGCTTCTAGGGATTAGGTTTTTGGGGTTTCTAGGGGTTAGGGTTAAGGTTTAGAGGAAATATAGGGTTCTCTTTGGTACCTGCCTTTTGCATCCAGGCCGGTTGCGACTGCCGAATACCCCTAAAGTTTGGTGCTTGCTGGAATGATGAAACCTGAGCCATTACCGCACTGAACAACGTAGCAGAATGTGCAATGTGTTCGGGTTCTGTCCCCGGGAAAGTCCCAGTGAGATCATGATCTCTACGGCTAAACATATGTCGCTGTTGTCGACGCTGACGTGATACTGCTTCGTCTGCTTCGTATTAATAATGCTCGGAATAAGTCACTCGGATGCATGCAATACCGGTTAACCCGAAACCTTCAACGAACCCTGAAATTCGCAGACTTCTTGCTCATGGTGCAGGAAGCTGGCCAAGAGGCCCATGGGCCGTTTTGGGTTTCGGAATCGATCGATTATAGTCGAATCTCATCGGAAACTTCGGGAATCCCAAGGAATAACATACATAGTTGTTGAGTCCGTTCTGGTGCTTCCGAACAATGGGTTCCTCCGCCAGGTTCCTATCAAATGTCTGGGAAAGCAATGAACCTTTGAGTACATATGCGGTTTGCGCTTCGGAGACGTGTGCTCACGACCAGGAGCTTCAGGCCTTGAAACCCGGAATCCTGCAATGCTGGTCTGCAGCTAAGGCTCCTCCGACAGGATCATGCCCCCAAATGCGATGGCCATCATCATCCCTCGCAGCTTTGGCCCCGAGCAAAACCCTATGATTCAGGGCCAGGGTCAGGCCATACCGGTTTGAAGTCTAGGAGTTTCGCGCGACGACTTGCAACCTGAGCCCGCTTTCGCGATTTGCCAATGAAAATCTGGGACTGTAATGTAGTAGGGGCCTTAACTTTGAGTTTGAAAAGTCAACAGTCAAGGCCCCGTAGGCTGCTGGTCATAAGGTCTGCGTAAACGTGACGGGTTGCCTCTGTGCAGTGCAACTGATCAGTACACTTCATATGACAGTTGTCCTCAACAAGAAAGTGGAGAAACTGCACATATGTATCCCACATGGGCACACCTTATTCTCGACTGGGGGGCTAAGGAATGCTGCCCAACAGATTCTACTAGTGCCGGGAAGCTCTATACAGCCTGCTGTGTTTTTTGTCATTGATATGCTGGGGGTTTCCCAAGAAGCGATATTCAGAGGCTCAAGGCTGGGAACGGGCAGCGGCAGGGCTCTGCTTTTCCAGAGCTGAAACGCCCCTGTACCCTTGGATCTCTGCTGTCCTGCGCAGGTGATTACGTGGCCGGTTTGCGCCACTCCATCAGCTACCTGAGAGAAGAGGCGAATCGGGGGAGTGGGTGGTCATGTAAACGTGGACATCCCAGGCCAGGCGCTTCACCTGGACACCCCCAGCCCAGGACCCTCAACATAATCTCCAACACCCGGAAAGTCGTCATTGCAATGCTCTTAGTCTGTTGACAGACCTGCTGGGGCGAGGTAGTGCGGCGGCATCAGGAGTCTATGTTCTCAGGAACCTCATATATCGGAACAAGTACTATAATTGTATCCCCTCATGGACTTCCTAGCCCAGAAACCTATTCTAACTCTTCAAGGCCCCATATTGGACGAGCTCCTCTATAGGAGAGCAGAATATAAAATGAAAGTGGAATTGAAGATGCGCAATGGATCGTATGCTCCTTTATCATTGAACCCTGATCAGCATATATATATATATATATATATCGCTGAAGCTTCTTTCCCATTCTCCATGGCTGGTTTGGTCACCAGCCTTTTTGAGCACGGACTTGAACTGGGTGCCCGGTCTCAAACAACAACTCATGACCCATGTCCCAAATCTAGGCGGCCCAACAGTCCCTCCAGACATTGGCTGGCTCTTGCGGATTGGTTTGCTCCTGCACCTTACTCCCAAGTTCGTTGCTCCAAGGCGTGATCGAATCACGTGGCTCCCTCAACCGAGAACGGAAATTCACAAATGGCAACACCAACAGCATCAGCTCAAACTTTCCTGGACCATCAGTGGTTTGCCCCGGCAGGACGGGGCCAAGAGGGCGAGCTGCTGCATCCAGGGTAGAGAAGCCACGCTCACGCAGCTCCGACATTCCTTAAAGGAGCGTATGTTTTGGGCACCTGACCCTGACGTAGGAGGAAAGGCACAAACCTCCCTAACTCCAAACCGCTAGCACAGTTAAGGAGTAAGAAGGGCTCAGGTTTCAGAGCGGGGCGGGGCGGCGTTTACCTGCCTTACACCAGAAGCACCGGACCTCCACCCAACATCACTCGAAACGGTTTTGGGGTCACGCCTTCCTTCTGATCCGAAACATGAACCCCAAACTTTCATGATGACATCGTCATCTCTTGTTAGGGGAGTGGAAACCTTTTCGTTTTCCTGCCGCGTTGCTCGGTTTGGCAGGCACAGCTGGAGGATACCACAAGACAGTTGCAGGACAACTCAGGAAACGGCTCCGGGCTTGCAGTGGGCTTTGAAGGGTTTGGATTAGAATGATTAGAAGCTGCCCCCACCCTGTCATAGTGACTATAAGGATTATAGTAGGGTCCTATGATATTCCTATTATACCACTATTACAGGGTGGGGGCAGCTTCTAAGGTTTGGAATGAAAGAAGGGCTCCCGGCCTTGAATACAGGTTTTTATCGTCCAAATTGGAGTTGTTGGAATGTTAAGTATCAAGACGCTTGCCACGTACACTGCACTCAATACCCCAAACACTTCACTGCGAAACTGCTACTGCCGGACCTCACGCACCGGGTTGGGTTGACCTCCGGTCCCTGGTTGCACTCCTTCAGAACCTAATATGGGGCTTTCCGAAAATAGGGGGAACCTAATGTAGTACCCAAAATAGTAGGATCCTTATTATAAGGACCCCCAAGTAAGGTACCCCCAATTTTCGGAAACTCCCAAATATTGCAGCATGGATACTTACCAATAGTGTTCCCATAGGGGCCCCTGATTGTTATACCTATACAAAGGCTTCCCTCACTATCTCGATCCGGAGATTCCTTCGCAGGCTCGGGTTGGGTTTGGGTATCTCCAACCCCTACTGCACGCGGCGGTGCTATCATCAGTTGCTAGTTTCGGTTGAGCATTGGCATACCTAGACCGCCCAGTCAAATGGAAGCCCGAAGCCCCGAACCTTAATCTCTGCGCCCTGTACCTGGCCGAAAAAAATTCGTCATATACGCAATACTGCCGACTTCGATCTTCAATAAGCTAGGAGTTGTTTGGCATAGTGCCATGGGCCCTTCCTAGACATCACAAGTTGACGACTCAACAGTGGAACAGTAGATTCTGACATCCAGATCGAAGAGGCTGATGGCAAGCACAGAAACTTGTGAGTAATAGTGCTCGCGATAGGTGCTTCCGGGATGCGCCCCAGGAGGAAGATGTCATAGTCCAGGGCGAGTCCTAGTACCTTGCACGAGATCGAAGCTCTCATGTTGACGAATGGTGCTGTCTTGAAATCCATGGGATCACGTTCACTTGCACCTCTAAATACAACGACCGGGAACCAAAGGAACTGAGCCTGAACCTATAGAAACGCCACGACACCAAGACATTGAACCCAAATCGCCAAATCCCCAAACCCGAAGCCCCAAACCTCACAGCTCCACTTAAACGTGACCCCTTCAGTCTGGATTCTAGATCGAATGATAATAAATGGCCTCAGGGGGCGTGTTTGGCTTGGAAAGTATTAGACAACGTGAAGCTACAGCGTATAAGACGCCTCGGACACCGGATTGGGGGCGCACAAGGATTGGGGTCACTCCCTTCACCCGACAGCGATTGAGGACACCCTAGATATAGGTTTGGGGTATAGGGATCAATCACATGTCGGCGTGAGTACTTGTCAGGTGTGTGATCCACAACAACTGCATCGCAACAAATCGTCGAAATCCGCGATTCTTTGTCAACTCGGCACAACTATAATTCCCTAAGGACTAAAGTGGGTAGATGCAAGAAAGGCTGTTTGGTCTACGGCTTGCGGGTTATTACGACAGTGGCCTCTTCAACCTGTTTCCCTCAAGGGCAGCTCGCTGTTGCAACCGGTGGCGTTAGTGCCCATGCCGGAAAGCCGTGATATTTCCGAGGCGCGATGGTGAAGGTTGTCACGGGCACCTTCGAACACACCCGATTGCAAACATCTAAACTGCTTGGGGCCATGTACTTGATAAAGGGTGCAAAGACAGTGCTGGTACAGTTTAGCTCAAAAGCCTGCCTTGCGGTGCCAGAAACCCTCTCGGCCTTAATGATAGTATTGGAAAAGTAATAGGGTTTTTTTTGGGTAAGGACAGATACCATAACTCTAGAAGGATTATCGGGGGATGATTTAACTAAATTCCCGCGACTCCTCTAGCACAACTTCTAAGCGGTGAACCACAAGACCACTCAGAAAATAAAACACCAAAACACCTGAAGCCTTGAACACTTGAAGCCTTTGCACAACAGAGAGCATTCACAGCACGGCACAAACCATACTTCTGGACACCTGCAACAACCAGAAGATCGGTACTCTAAGCCAGAGACCCAAAGCATCAAACATCACGCAACCCTCAACCATCAATTGCGCAGCAGCTCCCCCCCCCCCCCCGCCCCACCCCGAAACTGAGGCCCCGGCCATGAAAAAGAGTCCTGGCCATGCCGCAGCTTCTAGGGTTTTAGGGCCAGCGATCAATGCCTACTTGTCCAGTATCCTAGAAGAAAGACAGGTAACATACGGGTTGATCTAGAATCTAGGGGTTGTAGTACCCAAAAAGCTTAAAGGTCACCTGCTGTACTACTATCTACTAGGAAGGGCTTGGGAATTGGCGTTTGAGGTCTTCGGCGCTTGGGTTCTGGCAGGACTTGCATTAACGCTCCTCAATCTCCAGCAAGTCAGCTCGGGCATGCTCTTGAGTTAACGTTTAAGTTGAGGGGGCTGTAGGGGCTATGCTTGGGGCTTTGCCTTGGGAGGTCTCAGTAATCACGGGTCCCGCGCTCTCAGGAAGAAAGGGTTTAAAACTTAGACTGCAGGTTGCGTGTTCCTAAATTGGGGCCTTCGGAAGTTATTGATCTTCATCGCCACTCCTGGATACTTTTAGCTTTCAAGCTCCCTGTCCCCTGTAGCTTCGTCGGCAGTCCTTGCGTGCCGCCAACTGGGATTCCCAAGTCGCGAAGAGCACCAAGCTGGAATATGCAATGAGCTGCCTGGGTGTGGAGGGAAGAGGCTCGCATCAGGGGTGTACCCTAAACCCTAAACTGTGGCCACTTTGACTCATCTCAGGCCACGGCCATGTAGACAACAGCCTGTGAGCGAGCTTGCAGGCAGAGGTCTACAGTCCATCTGTTCTGCGCAAAACTCAAGGCTCCGTCGACGCTTGCAAGCGCGGAAATTATAGTTCAAAGTCCCCCTTAAAATCTCGATATCTGCACCCCGGCACACTACCTCTGACCACGATCTACCACACTTATCCGAACAAGGATGTGCTGAAGTCGACAGCTCCAACTTTGGGTTTTGGGCTTCAGTTTCGGGCTTTACAGAGCTTATGTTCAGGTGTGAGGCTTAGAGTTTCGGATTTATGGCGCGTTCAGGTTCAGGGTTCAGGGACCGTTTTGCGGCTGTGCGTGTGCGGTGCTTGCTCGGCGCTTTGGGTCACGCCGTCGTACTAGAGCGAAGTGTGCAGCGACCGGAGGCTCTGAGAGACATTTTCCAAAAATTGCTTTCTAACGCCTAAGCCGAGAAACCCTGAGCCAGTCCTAATCTTCTCAAGTTGTGCTTAGAAGCTTCCCGCATGCCCACCGACTATAACAGACTTCGGAAAACTACCTAGACCCAAGAGTAGCCTAGGAATAAAAAGGGTGCCCTTTTTGGATAAAGGGGGTTATAAGGGAACCTGAACCCTCAAAAAAGGGAATAAGGGCCTACTCTGGGTCCTAGCTACTAGTCACAGAACCCACAACGTTTAACGGCTGGGTATGAGATCAAAAGTCTTCACATGCCCCGAGCCAGGACCCACAACCTCCCAAAGACTCCAATATACTAGACCCAAGAGTAACCTAGGAATAAAAAGGGTGCGCTTTTTGGTTTAAAGGGATTTATAAGGGAACCTGAACCCTAAAAAAGGGAATAATGGCCTACTCTGGGTCCTAGCTTAATTAAGTAGGAATATAACTTATTAAATCATATTGCAGATTCTACCTACTGTAGTTTAAGGCATATATTCCTTACTTAATTAAGGGATATTGGAGGCTCCCAGCTTGCATCTCTCCGAGCGGCTAGGGTGAAAACGATCGTCACGAGTCCTCTGACTGCGATCATGACCTTGTCTTAGAGGGTTTGTTTCGGAGCCAATGGGGGGGGGGGGGGGGGCGTCCCAAGTGGCTCTGGATGTGCTGAAGGCTCAGGGCTTCAAGTGGTGACTTCGGCAGGCTGGAGGCTGAGGAGCGGCTGAGCGGAAGAGGACGCCCATCATCAAAAGGCAGCCAATGAGGCTGAAGAGGACGAGATTCGGCACACGGCCGAAGACACCTGGCTAAACACCGCTACTGCCGCATCTACTAGAAGGGCCTTAATCAATAATTACAATAGGAGTTTTGGGCCCATTATACTACAATGATAAGAAGGAAGTAGTACAGGTAATTACTTAAGCCCCTATGTTACACTTCCTCTCAAGCATCTCACACTGGCCTTCCTCGACATCCATCATGGCTGCGGTCTGTGAGACCATGTAGACATCGACAGGCGACTGGGCATTCGCATTCCTCAGAGAAGGCTACAGATGCCATGCCATGCCACTTGCAATGCTACTATAAGGGTGCAATAATATACTTAGAGGATCATGAGACTTAGTAAGTACGGCTCCTTCGAGTGGGATCCTTAAGGGGGAGCGCCTGGCACGTCAGAGTTCCTGCGGATTTCAGGCACAGTCCCACTCCCTGCTGCTCGAGATACTGAACGCGGATGATGTCCCGAAGTTGCCTCAGGCACAAGACATTGCCAATGATGATGGTTGCTCCGGGCTGAGGACATTCATGCACTACCTTCTGTCTGAAAGGCTCAACAGAGGCCGACATGAGAGTTGCAGAACCCCCTCCCGTCCAGCCTTCTGACACGAATATTGTACAGTGCACATGCTCGCTCGTTATTTGAATGCTCTGCCGCTGCCACCACAACCACCGCCGCCAACAACAACAGCAGCGGCAAAAACGGCTAAACGAAAACTCTAAACTCTAGACTCTCAACCCTCAACCGGACCAGACATTTTGCTGGACCAAACCGGCCTTGTCCAGTCGATGGCTTCTGGGGATGTCATTCCTGGGCCAACAATGGACACATTGGGCCTGGTCTCTGGATGAAGCCTGCGCCGAAAAACGCAAAGTGTGTGCGTGCGATGATATCAATCACCCGTTTAACCAAATATATGACAAGAGACCTTCATTTAGAGACGTATCATGATTTTGCAGAGCCTGATGTAGATGGGGCTTGCAGTAATGTCAAGACAGGAGCATAGAGAACTATCAATCAAAATAGGCCTTGACCTCGTGTCCGAAACATATCCGCAACATCTGCAACACATCCACCCTGAACACAAAGCCTGAAACTCAAAGAACTTTTCGCGGTATCCAGGAGACCAAGTACGAACTTACGAGTCCGCCTTCTTAAACTAACTATCGGGAGCTCGACAATAACCACACCCTTCCTTCATCCACCACTGTTTAAGGATATACAAAGTGCAAAAATTCATAAGCAACACAGTCCAGGAGCCCAGCAAATGTATGTTCCCTAAATTTTAAGTAGACACCACACCGACATCCGAAACCTCGAGCCCTGAATCCAGGACCCTCAGCCCTGCTGTCTACATACAAAACCGCCCATCCCCAAACCCTAAATCCTAAAGACTCCTTAACCCTAAACCCTGAACCACCACCCTTAGCCTTAAATCCTCTCCAACACCAAGAAACCTTGCGCAAAACACGCGAAGGGACAGTTCTTTCGACATAAATTTCGATGCTGAGCCATGGCACTCAAGTCCGGTGTGATCATTGCCAAAGATGCCGTTCCTTGTCCGCAGCGCGTCGGTAGTATGTAGGGTATGTCGGGTATAGGGATGTATTTCTTCTGCTCTTGGGACTTCCTGATGTGGCCTCCATCTCTTGAACTTCTCGCGTTTTTGAGGGACGTACCACGCCAACTTCTCCGAAAATAAATGTGCGGTTTCGGGACCAAATGGCGTTAGAAGAGCTTAAGCTTCGTGCTTGCAGTTTGCACGGAAGCTTTGAAAACCTTCCATGCAGGACGTGATGAGGACTTCAGAGCCTCGTGTGCAGATGTCAAGTTAACCAGAGGGTCCGCATATACTACCAGTATTGAATTTGATCCCATTATGGTTGTAGGGACCTAATTGCATAATAGTAGTGCATATGGACCCTCTTGGTCCAGGGCTTCCAAAACTCAGCAAGATGCAAACAGTAGATGTGGCAAGGACAAGTAGGGCACCTACAGCAGCATCAAGGTTTTGCTCAATCATCCGACAGAGTGGCTCACACAGTTTTGGTCGAAAAAATCATGACATAAACCTTCAAGCCCATACCTATGCAACCCTAAACCATGAGCCCCAAACCCAACATGTCCTAGTCCTAGTCGTGACGGCAGGAGCGTAGAGTCGTAGAGGCTGCGAGGACTGGCTTAGACGGCAAAGCAAAAACCCCAAGACCCTAAACCCGAAGACCCTAAACCTAAACCCTAAACCTAAACCCCAAGACCCTAAACCCGAAGACCCCTGCTTGCCCAGGGCTCTTTCGGCATTCAGCATCTGGTCGAGGATATATTTCAGCTCCTGGAAATGCTTTGTAGGGGCTTGTGAGGGTTCAGGGTACCTGAAAATATTTCCGGCAGGGTTCTGGCGGTGAGCAAAAAGACACAAAACTTTGGGGTTTCATCGTGCCGAAAGCACAGAACGATGTCAATTTTACCAACTTCAGTGATAAATCATCACCAGCATTGTCAGCAACATGCTCATGATGCCGAAGACCCTGCGAGAGCCCAGTGGCCTGGACCTGGACCATCGTGGTCAGACTGACCTGCGTCTCGTCCGCACTTTTGGCGGAATTGGCCGGCACTTCGATGGGTGAGTGAGCATGACCTTCAGTGTCAAGGGCTTCGTTTGAGAGCTGCTGCCCAACCTAAACCCCAAAACATCTTTAAATACCTAAACCCAAAACCCTCAGCCGCATGGTGAACTCATGGTTTTGGACTTGCGATAGACTGCTCCCGCTATGAAGATTTAAGCACTTAAGATGGTACGTTGAAGTCCGTAGCGGACATTTTGGGTACACAGGTCTCTGAACTTAGAGAGTGTTCGGGCTCCGTGTCTGGATTCAGGCCGATCCTGAGTAATGTACTAGAGGTCCCTGGACCGGAAAAGGCGAGCCTTCCAAACATGGTAAGGTTTGTCGTGTGAGCGTGTAGGTGTACATATACAGATATATATATATATATATATATAGATAGACAGAATGAGAGAGAGAGAGAGAGAGAGAAAAAAAAGACAGATTGAGATGTGCATGTGCCTGTGCCTGTGCCTGCATGTCTGCGTGCCTGCGTGCCTGCGTGGGTGTGTGTGTGTGTGTGTGTGTGTGTGTGTGTGTGTGTGTGTGCGTGTGTGCAGGAACACGGGAACACGTCGCTGTGTGTGTGTGTGTGTGCGCGCGTGCGTGTAGGCATGTATCTGAACCAATTCTAGCCATGCTTCGTCAACAATGCCAGCTCCTTACGTCCTAGACTAAACCCGAACAACACCCGCCGTTTGCTACCCTTCTCGCTACCATATGACTGTCATAACACGTAAATACTGTGCACATTTGTGGCTGTTGTGACCTTGCTTTTGTGAGAAACATATCTAAATTTCTAAGTATCGTCTTCCACAGATCGGACCAATAGCTTTTCTGCAGTCCCCCGCGCGCAACTGCTGGGAAAATAGTCCGGGCCACAGTTGTAAATTGCAGACCATATATTCTATAATATCTATATAAAAATTGCATTGAATTTCTTCACGTACCATAACGCGCCTATATAGTTATAAAACTGAAGCAAAACACAACCGAACCGTGACCACGGACATAAATCCCCGAACTGTGTCAAGAGCAAGCTGCACTGAGATTATCTACTTGGTGTCCCTGCAAAGCGTACATTAAGATATCCTAAGTCCTGTTTGTAGCCTACTTGTTTGTGCCATCCATGCACAATCCTGGGCTTAGAGAAGGGTTGGAAGCAAAACCTTACAACGACCAATAATGCCAGTTCAAGGTACGGTTGTTCGGAGATCAAAGGTACAGAAGAAACTAAACCGAGGCCAATCTCTGCAACGAAAGGCTCTATAGGTTAGAAGCTGCCCCCACCCTGCAATAGTGGTATAATAGGAATAGAATAGGGCCCTAATATAATCCTTATAGCCACTATTACAGGGTGGGGGCAGCTTCTACTCTATAGGCTTATGAAAAACATGAAAACAACGAAATGTTGGGGTTCAGGGTTCCCTTTTGCAACAGGCTTGCTGCTTCGCCCGGAAGTTGGGACCCTGGAAGCCCTTCACAGCACGTACTGTGGAGCCACTGCCAGTTCGGGGTTACCTAAACCCCTTAAATCCCTAAACTAGGGTTCCCTACTGATATAAATCTTGCATGACCCATAATCAGGACTGTACCATAATTCCCATATATTCCTTAGCATGGGTAATGCAGGATTTATATCATGAGCCGTACCATTGTCTGAGAATCCGGCTGCTGAGGTACACAGGCGAAGCAATGGAGCCACGCCGTCCTCAACGCCAGAAGAAACACAGCGGTTGAGGACAGGAACAGAAATCCTAAGAATTACGACACACAAGGAAGGCCGAAGGTGCATGGAGGTTTCCGAGCTTAAGTTTTAAGAGTTTAGGATGGTGTCGATTTTGATAACAAGTGGAAAGTCTCTGAGCGTGCCACCTCCGTCAAGCAACTCTTTCTCGATGAACTTGAGCATGAAGTTCCTTGGGTCGCGACAGTAATGGAGTACATGCTATGTAGTAACATGGTACATGGATGCAGATGGACTCCATGAAACGCTGTCGTAAGCCGCGTAGAAACCAACAACATCCCTAAGAAATTGCACTCTAGAGCCGATACCACTGCGTCTTCTTTGGCCTGTTATATGGGCTTTGAAATATTCGAAGGGTCTTGGGCCGTCTTGGGATATTGACTCAGGCCCCTAAATGGCCGCGGTCCTTCGTGAATCTCAAGGCACCACTTGTTTCTTCAGGCGTCGAAGTTTGAGCTATATTATGTATCACGGTAGAAGAAGGGGCACTAGGGCAATACTGCGGACCCCTGATTGATAAGCCCCCCTCCCTTAATAAGGGCTGTACCCGGGATCCGAACATGAAGGCCCTTGAGGCCCGGGCTTTTCAACATTGGGGGTCGAACGCTGCACCTCAAAATCCGAACATCTGAAACTCGCTGAAACCCCCGGGGACCCACTGCCACATTGAGCCCGCGCACGCCTCTATGACCCTCAGGCCCCAGTCCTGCTCCTGACAAGTACATAAAGCGGGCCGACAGCACAAGAAATACATAATAGGATTAGGGTTTATATCATATAGCCCCACCACAACTCCTTATAGTACCCTTTTAACGGAACCCTCAAAACCCCAAAAAAACAATCCCTAAAAACCCGTGTCAATGACCGCAGTCTCAGAAACCTCTGTAGCTGTGATCCCAGGAGCATGCTCTTCCACACCTCCGGCGTGTAGATCGCGCCCCTCTCGGCCTGGTGGCTCGGTGTTAAAGGGATCTATAAGGGTACCTCTAAGGGGTTCCTTTAAGGGATCTATAGGGTTTAGGATTTATATACATCCTGCATTACACATAATAAGGAATATACCATAGCTCCCATAGTTTAGGGTCCTCAAGGTAATGCAGGATTTATATCATCAACTGGGGGGCGGGCGGGTTGCAGGGTTTACGCTCTCGCAACTCGGACATGCCAGGACGAGGTTCTCGGTGCGCGTCGGTACTAGTTGCAGGGTCTGAGGTTTCGGATTTGTCTCGAGAAACTCGGAATTGCAGTTTTGGGCATTATCAGATTAGCCCTGAAATCCCATACGGACTAGTTCCTTGCTAGCATATAGCATAAACTCCATAATCCGTACAATCCCCATGACGCAGTAGCATGCGTACTACGAGAGTAGATGGGCTGATGGGCTCCAAGGGCTACATACCGGCCAGGAGAGACGGTGACGTTTCTGGATTTTGGCTCTGCGCAGGCCCGTTCTTGCGGGCCTAGGACCCTTGAAACCCAAATGAACCCTACCTGGACCCCAAGAGTATGTAGAATAACGGCCTTTAAAAGGTACTGGGCCATTATTTTACCTACTTTTGGGGTTTAGGTATAGATCCCTTTCAAAGAACCCTAACCCCTTCTAGATCCCTTTAAAGGAACCCTAACCCCTTCTAGATCCCTTTAAAGGAACCCTAACCCCTTCTAGATCCCTTTAAAGGAACTATGTTGCAGCTGCTCCAAGTCCCGTTCATGCAAAGGCACTTTCATGCAACGCATCTTGGGGGATCCTTCACTATGGTGCTTTGAGCTGAAATATATGTCAGGGTTCGACCATGTCTGGTGGGGTTTAGTTTTTTGTTGGCGTTCAAGGTTTGGGGTCTTGGGCTGAAAGTTTAAAGTGTGGATTGTAGGGTCTCTCATTGTATTCCTATTATACCACTATTACAGGGTTGGGGCCACTTCTAAGGTCTCTCTTACTATTCCCCTCTCACGGTTTCCCCGGAGCTGTCGTACTCTTCTGCGCGGCAAGCGGCTTGGAGGGAGTCGACCCCTCGGGCTACGAACATGACGGTGGTGGGGCCCATGATGCCCTTGGAGAAATCCTGGCGGAACGGCCAAGAAGAAGGGAGCTGATGGGAGGTTTTGGCATGGTCGAAGCCCTCGTCAATTCATGGCTTTCTCTGGCTTGACAACGATAGGATTGAGAGATAGAAAGAGCCGACCGAAGAATAACATTCTGGTTGGCAATGCTTGAAATGCCAAAAACCCACGTTTTACAAGCCTTGGGCTTCACCCCACGCCCCGAACCCCAAATCCCTCCAGCGTCTTTGAAGGAACAGACCTGTATAGTACCCTTACTGGAATCCTTGCCGTTCCCAGAGAGGAACCCTTACCCGAACGCTTCGAGGCTGTTGAAGGGAAAAGGCAAGTCTCCTGGCCAATACGGTCCAAGGTCTCCTGTCAAGACTATTGGATTTAGGGTTTAGGGGTTTAGGGCTTGAGGTTTTAGTATTCAGCATAACATGGGACTGTCACGCCCGATACGCTGCACGCCCGGGTACAATGCATTCCGGCGTGCTTGCTGTGGTGCGTCGCTTCCAAGGGAAGTTCGGACTGTCGGGTGCCCTGAAGAAGCCAACTGCCTAGTTTTAGAGGACGCAAATAAACCTTCGCCCCTGCAGCTCTCCAAATGATTGACAACCCTCAACCGGTCTCTAAACTCGTCTGCAGTTACCGGCCAAAACATTACGAGTACAAATACTGCATGGAGGAAAGCACTTGTTGACGACCGGCTGCCGACTGACTGACTTGCTAGGTTCCTGAGTAGCCCCTTTACAATAAAGGTACTCTTTTTCCTAGTATTCGGTTTTGGTAAGAGGACCCTACAACAAAAAGGGCAAAAGGGTACTACTCAGGAACCTAGCTTCCTGAACTCGCTAAAGTCCTGGGGATCATTATTTATTTCTGAACTCGCTAAAGTCTTGGAAGGTCATCTGGGAGTTTCCGAAAATGGTGGACCCGAGAATAAGTACCCCAAACAGTAGGAGCCTTATTATAAGGACCCCAACAATAAGGTACCCCTATTCCCCTATTTTCGGAAACACCCAACTTCGTTAGGTTCCGAAGCCTTGAACTGGTGCGCCGGATGCTATGGAACACAGCATGGGTTTGGGTTTCGGGTTTACGTTCTCGCAACTCGGACACAGCCAGACGAGGTTCTCGGTGCGCAGTCGGACTACTGCGACGGGTTTTCCGAGTCAGGGTGTTTAGGGCTTAAAGTTTGGGGTTCAGGGATCAGCGAACGGTAAACAATCCGGAAAAAGCCAACGCTGTTCAAAATGCCAGGTCAAACAGTGTGCACCCAAACCCTGACATTGAAAACCAAAGCCCACCCCCAAAAAGATATGCATCCCAAAAGGGTCTGTAAACCCCAAGTACCCCTAAACCCTTAATTAATACCCCCAAAACCGCAAATAGCCCTATACCCCTAAACCCCTAATACCCACATACCCCTAAACTCTATACCCCGAATACCCCTAAACCCCAAGTAACCCGCAATGCCCCAAAAACGATATCCCCAAAGGGTCGGTAAACCCCAAATACCCCTACTACCCCTAAACCCCAAGTAACCCCTAACACCCCTAATACCCCAAATACCCATAATAATATCCCTACACTGAACGCCTAATACCCCTAATACCCCTAAACCCCTAATACCCCTAAACCCCAAGTAACCCCTACTGCCTCCAATACCCCTAATACCCCAAGTAACCCCTAAACCCCTATAGGGTCTGTGGCTCCAGCGTCTGGGAGCCCTCGGGGCCCAATAGCGCAAAGTCCATCGTCACCTGCGACGTCCAAGGGTCGTGGGCTTTGCCCCAAAATTGGGGGTTTAGGGCTTTAGGGGTTTAGGGGTTTAGGGCTTTAGGGTCTTAGGGTTTAGGGTTTATATAGGGTTTTAGAGTTTTAGGGTTTTAGGGCTTAGGGTTTAAAGTTTAGGGATGTATATAAAGTAAACCCTAAACTATACTCTGGCCTCCGTGCTTAGAAAAGCGTATGCTCGCTTGTAAGTATACAGGAAGTCAAGAAAACCTACGCAGCTGTTCCGACACCTGTCTTATGCTGGGAGGATCGCAGGGGTTCCTGGATTATATAGTCATGGAGTACTTCTGAGCCTCAGCCCTCCACCAGAAGTCAAAGGGTAAAAGGAGGGACCCCTAATAAGGATCCCTAGGTATATACCCATAATATAGCCATTATATACCCATTATAGGGTAGGGGTCCCCATTAAGGGTCCCTCCTTTTACCCTTGGAAGAAGGCCACAGACCCCCGAAAGCCCTAAGCCCTTTACTCGGACATCTGAGGATCTGGTAAAGACGTAGGGTTTGGGTTTGCAGAGCTGCTTTTGATGGAGATTCCGGGTTCCTAATAACGAGTATTGTCAGGGGTCCTGACATGCAGTGCGGCGAGCACGGGAAGCAGACAGTGCAATTTACATGGTAGACATGCCCTGCCGGTCCCCGCGAGTCTAATAGCCAGATGCTACCTGAGAAGCAGTTGTCGTTGAAATAAGTGCGAGTGCTTATAATTAGGTCTATTGATCAGGTCAACTTACTCCGGCTTGCAAGAGCCGTGTTGAGCAATTTCTGCGAAACCCCCTGGTCCTGTGTCAGGTTCAAGTGGATCGCAGTTGAACCAGTCATCGCCATGATGCAGGCGATGATCACAATCCCGACGACGCAAAAGGAGCACTGGGAGGTCGTGCAAACTCGGGACCACCACCTGAGAAAGCGTTGCTAGTGTGCACATGTCCTTGTGACTGAGAGGGCATGCGTATCGGTGCATACACATGCATGTAGACATAGCTGCGATTATATGTGCGCATATTCAGATGTGTATGATCATCCATATACGTGTGTATATATATATATATATATATATATATATATATATATACATATGTACATAAATACATACATAAATATACACATACACACATGCATATATATATATATATATATATATATATATATATATGTGTGTATCATCATATACAGACACACACACACACTCACGCACACACTCTCTCTCTCTCGCTTTCTCCCTGTCTGTTGCGGTTGTTCATATGCTCCACTTTAAGCACTTCGGCCACAGTCGCCGTCGCCTGAAAAAAATGCAAGCGGTAAGCTGACCCGCAATGCGAGGTTTGTGCAGCCAGCACTCCCGATGATACAGAACCGGTTTAGTGTTTGGGGTTTAGGGTTCAGAAGGTTTGAGGGTTTAGGGTTTAGGGGCTCGTCTAGCACGGCTTTTCCGCTCCCAGTGGTAGTACCAACACAATGCAGCTAGCCAGTCGAGTTGCTGCCAGAAGCTGGACACGTTCCTCAGTTGCATGACTGTTCGTCGAGCTCCGAGTCGTGGATTTGGCTAAAGACTGCATTGCTTGTTCGGAAGCCTTGCGATAAGATGTGACGATGTTTGTAAACTGTCTGGTGCTTAGTAGGGAATGGAGGATGGATTCTGGAGACTACTATTGGGGACCGGATCCAATCCCCCATTCCCTACAAAGCACCAGACAACAAAGGTGCAAAGTCAGGCACGGTGTGAATACTTTGCAAGCACTCGCAGCAAGTCCTTGAAACAGCGGGGTGGAGGAACACGGCTCAGCCGACTCATTATATCGCATCATACTGCTAACAGTGTGTTACTATTTTTTGCTTTGCTATTGTGACTTTGTAGCATCATTGTTATTATTCTTGCTGTTATTACTATTCTCAAGAATGCTTGCCGTCCAGTTCTCTTCCCAGGCCACCAGTCCGTCTTGGCGCTCGGGGTTTTCCAGCTCTCCGGGTGTAGGGCTTTGGGGTCTCATTTTGGGGTTTCTGCGCTCGCACTCGGACAATCCAGGCGAGGCATATGGTTCGGAGTCTGACAAGTGAAACGTCACTCATTTGAGGGTTTAGGGGTTTCGGCCAAAGGTGCAAAGAGTACCTCTTATACACTCTGCGTTAGGGGTTTAGAGGTTTAGGCTCTCGCAACTCGGACTGGCCAGGTTCACGGGTTTGGGGTTTAGGGTTTAAGGCTTGAGGATTTGGGCGGTTTGAAGAGAAGGGGGCGTCGTGTACAGTCAGTATAGACAGCAAGCAAGGAGCTGCTGTGCCAAAGCCCGCCGGCGGAGCTTGCCCTCTGTGCGAGACAGGCTCTGTCCAACCTCACCAGCAGATGCTCTTTGGAAACAACCCTCTACAGTTTAAAACACCAACTCAGGCCTAATGCTTGCCGGTAACCAAATGCCACTGAGAAAAGGAAAAACATATGGTGGCCTCCAACCACGCGTAATGGCACCCAAAAGCTCCGAGACCAGCAGTTGCGTCAGTACACGCAGGAACTAGAGGCACGTAGATTTTGAGTGGACGGTCCAGTAGCAGCATAGCAGTGCAAGTGACAACGGTTTCGTCCTGTTGCGGCAACTTACGGTCAAGGAGAAAGTCTGCCGATAGGTTCATGCCCCCAACAAGGTGTGCCTCGCTGATGCCTAATATGGCCGCTCAACGGGGAAAGTGTTTCAGTCGTTTGACCCCAGCTGGTTTCGGCTTTGGCCCAAAATCACCCACATTACGGTG